TAAGCTAGGATATACAAAGATATGCGGTGAACCAAATTCAGGACTCGCATCCAACAGTTCTAAGCTCACATTCTACGTAAGGTGTATAACTTTTCTTTCATTTAACTTAGGATAATGAATATTGGTTTATACATTTGTCGTACTTATAAAATGTGTTTTTTTTGAAGTTGATGGCATGTCATCCCTTCGACACAGAGTTATCAATCTATAATTATTGTTCTTTGTTACACTTTGTGTCAATGTATTTTCGGCGAGTGTTCATCATTTCACTGATTATAAATGGTGGACAAAGGCTATGGCAGAAGGATTTGATAACTTTACACGGAGACACCTGAAAATACGGGGAGAATAAGAGCATGACAGACTTATCTAGTTCTGTCTAAACAATTTAGTGATAAGTATCATAGTCAGCACCCAGGATGATACTACATTTACCCTTTATTTAACTAAACATGGAGTTGAGGCCATGCAGAAATTTCAGTCTGTCATTCAGTATATTAGGTACATAAATATCTATCACTTTCGAAAATAGTGCCATCATCGTTTTATATTTAATATGCAAAAATATATCGCCGTGACATTCAGCACTTACAACAAATTACTTGTATAATTACTTATTAATATTGACATACTCTGATATCTGCTGTCATGATTGTGACGTTATGGAGTTGAAGCAGTAGAAAAATTTCAGTCTATTATGCAGTATATTAGGAGTAGAAATGTGAATCACTTACAAAAAAAGTGCCAGTGGTGTTTAATTTAATATGTAGAAATAGATCACCGTGACATTCATTACTTACAACATCTTTCTTGTATAATTACTTATTGCCGTACCTTAATAGCTACTGTCATGATAACAAGCATAACTTCCACTTTTATCCGACCTTCACACCTCATATATATGTGTGTGTGTGTGCGTGTGTGTGCGTGTGTATGCGTGTGTGTGTGTGTGTGTGTGTGTGTGTGTGTGTGTGAGTGTGTGCGTGTGTGTGTGTGCGTGTGTGTGTGTGCGTGTGTGTGTGTGTGTGTGTGTGTGCGCGTGTGTGCGCGCGTGCGTGCGTGTGCGTGTGTGCGTGCGTGCGTGCGTGTGTGTGTGTGCGTGCGTGCGTGCGTGCGCGCGCGCGTGTGTGTGTGTGTGTATGTGTGTGTGTGTGTGTTTTATGTGTGTGTGTTCTTTTCCTTGTGCGTGGACATCCGGGACATCAAGATAAGACTTATTGATGCTGTGGAAAACATTACTTAGGAACACTTTGTCGATGTTCGTTTCGAATTCCCTCACGTGCACACGTGATATCAAATCACAAAGACAATTGGCTCCGACGTTAACATAATGCCTGCACAACTCATTCCGGCAATTAAGTGCGCAGTGGATAATGCATTTAAAACAAAAGTGCTTAATAGAATGGCAGAAAGGGCTTTTTCTTCTGCTTCTTGTGAACAATTAGACGATTGAGGTTTCCAATTTTACTGTATACCGAATGGACGGAAGTGCAGGCGGAAGTCTGACCTTAACAAATCTCGTGCCATTCGTGTTTTTAGCACCGAGATAATACCGCCTTCGTTACCCCTACACTGGAAAGGGTACGTTTATGTTCCCTATCGTGAATATGATTGGGGATATTGAAAAAACACAATTCATGGACTACTGGCAATATCCACATTGCCCGCCAATATTAGGAAGGAAGCCTTTCCATTATAATTGCAAAGCCATTCCCCCCATTTAGAGACACAAACACACTGTCATGAGGTGTAATAACCTAGTTGTCACAACGTCGATGTAATAAGAACAGGCCTTCTTGTATGACCCGTTGAGGTTCCGTTTGCGTTTGTGTCCGAGACAGCCATTACAACCTGTGCCCTTATAACTTACCGTATCGAAAAAGTAAGTTTTTCATAGTTCCAGTTTTTCTTGCGTGAAAAAATTACCGACTGACGGATATTTGTCCTCTTACTTCAGACCTGTACATGACAAGTGATCACGAACATTAATTGGTTAGGTGTAATCACGGGCATACAAAAATACATAAGTAAACTTTACATTAGAAAAGGAATTTAGTAGTACAAACAGTTTAATCATACCAAAACATTGGACTACACTAATTCCTGCAAGAAGCAGAAAATCTAGAAACAAATGAAACAAATGCTACCTGGGAGATCCTTAATTACGCCTCATCTAACCCTTTTTGTATTTTTGATATTTTTAATAACCAGAAAATATAAACTAAGTGAAGTGACAAATCTGTTCATTAACAAGACGAAGGGTCGAGTGAATTTCGCCTAGAAAGACACAACAACGATAATAAATTATATAAATATTTACCAGGGGCGGTAACCATATGATTTATAGCTCTTGTATGTATTCAAAATGATAGCACACATGTACATGTAGAAGTACCAGCAGTAAAGGGAAGTAACTCAATAAAAATCCTCTATAAGACCTCCATATATACATGCCTTCCAATTATTACTTAATCGACACTTGTTCCATATCGACCACCACAAATTATTATCATGTTATAATGTATAATGACGGTGCTCTTTGGTGTTAATTTAGAAAAAAAGATAAGTATATAATTAATTTATAACTGATTTTAATGAAATAAGTATGACATTCTGATAATAAAGTTTCATCGCTAATGTGTAATAGTGAGTTATGGTCATTTGTAAGTATGTGAGGTTTGATCAAATTCGTGTAAGAGATGAAGCTGCTGAAGCGCTGATAACGATTTTCTGAGAATGTTAATGGTGACCTTATTTCAAAAATCCGGAAGCTGAGACTGAAACTGAGAGCGACTTCCTTTAAATAGCTAATGAGTCTGACTTTGACCCCACAACCCTGAAATTAGATCTTGTCCAAGATATTTTGGTCGTTTGTAAGTGGTTTGATCAAAATCCAAAAGGGAATGAAGCTACAAGGGAGCTGACAAAGACTCTTTATAAATAGTACACGACATCGACCTTGACCAAACAACCCTGAAACTCGATTTTGTCCAAGATATTGAAACAAAATGGTATTGTATGGTATTTTATACATGGTAATCTCTAGATATTCTGGACCATGTCATTATTATAGTTGGTAGTACTTAGAACTGTGTTTTACTTGGAATCGCTTCATATGTATGGTTAACCACAGTATAAGTATTTCATAGTCCGTAGTTTCGTATTTTCTATTGATAGTACTTCCTGTCACAGTACAACTGCTTGCAGCTATATATCATTATTAGTAATGTATGTACATTATTTGATATATGATAAAACTTATTTAGCAGATATCACAGTGTCAATTTACAAATACAGAATATATTAAAAGTAATTGTAATCAGAAAAAAAAAAAAACAAATTTGATATATTAAATGGTAAAGCAAGAATTTTACTTCATATTTAGAATAACCAACCATATTTCCAAGTGGAAACTGACAGTTGGAATAATGTAGAGATAGCAACACAAAATTTTCATTGTGATACAAACGACATAGATAGTTACTGAGCTATTGCCCTGTAGGGAAATTAAAAATGTTGGCATTCAGAAATATACATTATTTAATACAACACTGAATTTGTACCTGTATTCTGGTCGTTAAGTTACCTATGAAATTAGGTGTTAGAATGGTGCAGTTTTGTCACAGGTTTCCGGGTAGGGGACAGTGGTGGTAACCATACTATCACAGGTTAATTTCAAAATGATCAAACTTTACCACCACATTATTATAGACATATGTAAGTGGTTTAATCAAAATCCAATGAGAAATAATGCAACTCGATCATTAACAAAGACTCTATATAAATAGTAATTGACCTTGACCCAACCACCATGAAATTCGATCTTGTCTAAGATATTAATTCATATCACAATCGTTTCTTACTGGCGAAATCAAAGTCCAGTAAAGAACGAGGTCGCTAGAGCGCTGACAAAAATGTTCTTTGAATAGCAATGGACCGGAATAGCTCACCTATCCTGCAGCATAAAACTTAAAAAAAAACAAAGACTTTGGGAATAAAGCGCATTCCTCCTGACTTTAATTTTCATGCTAAACTGGATGTGTCGAATAGCTCATCAAACAGGCCACACCACAACACAACACAAACTCACAACACAGAATTTTGAAAGATGAAGGAAGATTATGTGGAGGTTTTACGGTCATCGGAAGGATTTCGATGAGAAATATTATATTTTATGCAATATGAAGTCGGACGTCTTTGATGCTTACTTGTATATGGCTGGTGTTTCCATTGTTGTTTATTTTGTTTCATTTTTGAACGTGACATTACTTACAAAGCTTTATTTAGACAAACCATTTGTCTTCGACGAAGCAGAAGACGGCCACTCTTCCGGAACACCTGGTCTTATTCTCTATGTACTGTTTCCCGAGTCTCCGTTCATACCTTGCCCTTGTTCCGTCGAATTTTAGTTTAAATTACAATAGTATTGATATGTCGGTATTTCAAAGTTAATTATGGTTATAGTATTTTCTTTAAAAGTCCTCTACAGATTTAGTTCAAATCTTCCTCATATCACCATAACGTCGATGTCTTAACATGGTGACATACTGAGTTATATAGTAGTTCAATTCATGTTTTAAAGACATTTTCTAGTTTTTTATTCAAAATGTTCAAAATTTTTATGTAAACTAAAATCTATAATCAGAATGCACTGATATGATTACAATTGATGAAAAGTTCCGCTTCTTATACAAAATTTGTGAAAAATATAAGCAATAACGTAAAATCCTTGTACAATCACATTTCTTTCTGTTTGATTTATATCGCGGCATCGCTATAAGGATCTATGTATACAAATTGAATGAGGCGATAAGGACCTCTCCAATTGTATTTAGGAGCAGATCCTGACCCTTAAAACACACTAATTGCCTTCCCATCGACAACACGGACCCCGTGACCAAAGTACTTACTTCCGGTTTTGCATTTTCGCATCTCCTTCGGCTGTCACTGACATTGCGATTTGTGAGACGATATGGACGGGGACTATTTTGCTGCTGTTTTGATTTTTCTGTCGCTTTGCGGGCAATGTGAGTATCTGTTATGTAAATTGTTTATCTATACTCATCAATGAATGGGATATTCATATTGCTTTGTACATGTACTTTGGCAAGATTTCATATAGATATAAAAAATAACATCTGTACAATGTTTAGTGGCGTAAATTCACTGGTGACCTAGATTACCAGAAAGAAATGGTAAGGCCATATTTGCACCTATGATCACAATAATGGGACAATGAAATGTATAATTTTCTCGTATTGAATAAATTTTTATATTGAATGTCAGTTGACCTCAAAAAGAAAATAAAAACCTCTCTGACAGTTTCTTGTAAAATGCAAACTGTATAACTCGATGTTATCTCCCCATATCGAAGTTTGTATCTAAAAATGAGTAAAACTGATCGAAATGACTGCGAGAACGTGACAAGTACCCCGATTTCACCAACTACGAGCTACAAGTGAAATGATCGCATCTTAAAACAACGTTTGTAATTATCTGTTACTAAATTTATGCTAATTTTTGATGGGTGTCAAAACGGTTTGTTTCGCTTTTTTTCCATTTTGTTTTTGTTCTCTCTTTACAATTTCTAAATAACTACTCGTGCCCCCCCCCCACCCCACCACCACCCCCCCCCCAAAAAAAAAAAAAAAAACATTTCCAAAAGATACAACGCCTATCGATCTGTCCGGTCATCTTAGGTTCATGTTAAACGTAAGGAGATACATCCCACTGATCATTAAAATAAGTTTGGACTATAGTTTTAAATAACTATAGACTACATGTAAGTATAAGCTTTAGTTTTAAATGATAAGCATGGGCTATATTTATACCTTTATTGAATTAAAAACCTTATTCTGAGTGTTTCCTTACAAAAAAAGGGTATCAATTATATATTACTAGCAGGAAAGCCCAAACTTGATTCATAGACGTATTTAGGAAACAAGAAGACATTACTGTTTTGAGACAGGGTTTGGTATACTGCATCATCAGTACCAGAGTTTGTAATTGAATGCGGGTTCTACATGGAAATGAAAATGTAATGTAACTAGCCCCTGTGGTTAGATATAGGTTAAACCAAAAATAATCATACCGTCCCCTGTGCTAGCTATGCATTAAATGTTACAGCCCCCATTGATCACATAGCTATACATAAGCAAGTCCCCTGTGGCACCTATGTATTTACTTGATGGCAGATATATATCTAATCTCGGGGATACTATGACCACGAATCTACTGTCGAGGAGACAATTATCACGTGACATTCTTCTGTGGGCCATTATAGCTATATATCTATAACTGGCGGGGGTTGGTCATGTTATTCTTCCCTAGACAGTAAAATTTATTTGTGTGCATCACGAATAAATAGTTTGAACAATTATTGAATGGTCGCACATTTACCTCAATCTGTAACGATAATCCACATATTTGTTTGTGAGTGGACTTCCGCTGTGTGATCTATAAGAAGATTGGTGTGTGCTGAGGTTTTATGTCATGAGGGTATATATTGAGTGGACTTGTCGCACATCGCAAGAGCAGATAGATCCCTTAAACGTGAAAGGTGTGGGAGTGGACACTGAGTATTAGCTCTGTCACTTCCTGTGGGATTATGGGAACTAGAGACGTACACGTAGGAACTCGGTACACTGCAGTTGTTTGTTCAGCAACAGATCGCCATTCTCGTCCCCATTAGCTGGCACGCTAGTCGCTATACCATCTTTTAACTGAATGGAACGAGGCGAGATCAGAGAGTAGACGTTATTTGTTATTGTGTATTTCTTGTGTTGTAACTGTAATAAATAAAGTAGTGTATAAAAATAAGTAAGAAACGCATAGGAATATCAATGATCTTTTAAATATTCTTTAAAAATCTCTTTCAATATTTTTGAAAATCCAACATATCACAGCACTCAAACGTGAAACTGTAATTCACCTAGTCGTGATGGATGTGAAAAGTATGGGGTCACCTGCCCTTCCCCGGGTACTCCGGTTTCCTCCCACACCAAGACCCTCGCGGGCTTCACTCCGAGGCAAAAAAGGGTTTATTATAAGTTGGAATAAGTAAAGATTATCTATTTATTTGTAATTAATTCATTCAAAGTATCGGAGTTAGATTTTCCCCCCAAATTATATTTCAAGAAAATTTAAAATTTATCTATTTTTTCGTTCTTGAGATTGAGACAATACGGAATTAGATGTCGCGACCGAAGACAAATTCAGTATACTCTAATCATCGGCAATAAAAATAATAAATGGCGTTTCTTGTTAAGGGATGTGAGCTCCTTGATCTTAATATAGAGTTTCTACAACGTAGGAGAAGAAAGGTTATCAAATGACATTCTGTGTGGACGCGGTCACGTGTACTCTATACCACCACAAGTACAGAGATTGTGATCATGTCATAGATACAGTGGTATAGATGAGAGACCGTTTTGACCAGACAGAGATATTGCCGAACTCGCAAGGGTTATGACTTTGTCAATACTTGGTCAAACAGGTATAGGAAAGACAGAACATGTCTCTAAGTGAAAATGGTAGTCACGAAGATCTACGAATTTTAAGAGTGTAACAGAAAATAATGTATGTAACACTTAACACTACAATACATATACAATGGGGATCGTTGGTTGGAAATTCGTGTCAATGTCTTGAGAAATAATCCTTAATGTTGACGAATTCTGTAGTTTTGAGCAACCAAAATGTGTATATGTGTGCGGACTTTATCTTTACGTAAAATATTTCACTGATTTTATCAACAATACATGGTCGTTTTGATAAAGAGGAAGAACGAATGAAACCTTGGTCAACTAATATCTGGTTTGACACAGTGAAAAAAGTAAAAATTAAAATGTGTAACTCTCTAAGATGCCAATAACACTTCGAACAGTTCTGTCATTTTTTTGATAGGCTGTTCAAAGGGAGGGGTAATAAATGATTCATTGCCTTCGTCTCTCGCCCTGTATAACACGTGATACAAGTCACTCTGTGGAAGTGCTTTTTAGAGCCTGATGTGACTGTGAATATTCACGTGTTTACATAAATATTCAACATTCATTGATCATATATGTTGCTCAATACAAGTAACATTCTGAAATACTCGAAATGAAGAGGTTTCTCAAACCATAAGTAACATTCTGTTGAACCGTAGCGGCGAGGCATTTAAATAGATAACAGTATCATTCGCCAACACATGTCCTGAAAACATACAGTGGACACAGCTATACTTATACGAAACAAGTAGCATGCTTGAGATGTAATATATAAATAAACCTGTTTTAACAAGTGCTTAAAAAGTCATCAACTCATATTTATAAATTTTCTGCAATATCATACAATACAAAAGCATTCTTTCCATATGCTACACTTAAAGGGGCGGCGGTGGTTGAGTGGTTAAGGCGCCTGGTCGTGTTCATCACTAGCCCTCACCGTCAAGGGTTAGAAACCTACACGGTTTTGTTGCCGAATCCCGAGGGCGGTGATTGTACTGCGAGAAATCCGGCTGTCGTCTGAACTGAAGGATAAAAGAGATAAAAGTAGATGAAGTAGCTGTTTTTCTTTCATAGTTTGATGGTGGCACTTATCTAATTCTTAATGGAACTGAAAAACCTGAAAGAAAGTCAATAAAAGAGTTGAAATATCTGGAAAAAATATCAGAACTGAAAAATAATTTTGAATATATATATATATGTATCTAACATTTATTTAATATTATTTACCGTGCAATTATTAAGTATACAAATATGAAAGAGATGATCATTATCGTTTTCTTTATTTAGTTGTACATTTCAAACTGCTAGAAACGCAAGTAAGAAAGTATATGAAATCCATCGACATGTTCTCTTGTATTTGTGAAACGGCCGTAGTCACAATTTTTCCATCAATAATAAGATGTAATACCGGGCCAGCAGTTCATAGCCAGTTCAACTGAGTACAATTATTATTATTCGACACGTGTACGTCTACCAAGTTAAGTGCAGCAACCAATCACAACACACTGTACCATTGACATTAAAACAAAAATAAGAACTATTCTTTTTGAATTATCCCCTTCATAACCCAATTTGTCAAAATGTCAGTTTTATTACTCTTTTCATTTAAACACATAACGTGAATCGACCTGAATAATTCAGTAATGAATAAAAAATCCATTTAATATTTTGAAAAAAAAGCAATTAACTAAGCTGGCATTTTGACTGATCTATAATGATATATTCACGACAGTGGCCGAAAATTGACATGGGTTACCAGTGATGTTACAAGTCCATCAGTCTTGTTATGATTAGCGCCAACAAAATATGACCATCAGAAGACTCAATTATCCGATGTCTCCTATTCCGGCCAACCATGTTCATCATTAATGAGCCGAGATGACTTGTGATTCTTCCTGTATAACGCGGAAATCGGGGTACTTAACATAGTAACGCAATCAGAATCAATGGTCGAACCATTTCCGAATCTGTTGTGCGAACGAGTTACGGCTTTAGAAATTGTTTGTTTTATATCTTAAAAGATCCTAGAAAGTTTATCCCCAACTAATCGTCCATTTTTAGAATTTCATATGCAAACAGAAGTCTACTATTTTATGATTTTCAAAATATCTGGCCACAACGGTCAAGATGAACTATTGTTATCATGTTTCCACCGTCGTTGCTCGTCGTACATAAAAGTTTCCTTTAAAATGCTACCCTTCGTTTATGCCATTACTGATTTCACCCAAATTCCGTTTGCTGCATTAATTGATGACGAAAATATTGTTTTTATATTCAGAAAGTAGACCTGGGAACGGGACCTGGGAACGGAAACCCAAAACGAAAAGTCAGATAAAATTTTACTTTAAAATGCTACTCCTCCTTCAGGCCTTGATGGACTTAAAACCAAATTTGGTCCCAAACATCATAGATAGTTTGGTATCAATTCTTAAATTCAGAAAGTTGATTCGAACCGCAGTACCCGGGTGTGGGCCCCAAACGGGAAATTGGACACATATTTTGATATCAGAATGTTATCTTGAACACGGTAAAGACACGGTTCAAACCTTGTTGAATTATAGGTAGCAGTCAGCGATGTCCGGTTGACTGGATGGATGGCCCCTTAAAAATAAATTGTTACTATTTCGGAGTCGGCGTACCAAGAAAATCATGGTTTGCTGCCCGAGACCACTGTCTGTCGTTCCAGTCTGACCTCGTAAAAATCGATGACACTACAGAAAAGGTAAACCCTTATGTCTCTTGTTGGTCTAGTTCATGTAATAATTTCTTGTGCGAGCAATAGATTTGAAACCGGTTAAGATATGTAAATGGAAATTTGGTGTACATCTTTATCATTTAAGACCGGTACACAATACATTGCCCTTAGGTTACTGTTAAATTGACTTCAAGGTCAAAGGCCAGAATATTCATTCAATGCATGACCCAATTAGGAACCCTGTCGAACTCCATCCTAAGTAGTATAGTTTCTTGTTCCTGTAGATACAAATTTTTAAGATAGGGCAAGTCAAAACACTCGTACATCAAATATGTTGAAAATGTAACGACTATTTAATACTCTGCTTCTTCTTAGAAGTGTTTTCTAATATATCACTTATATACTCTGATTACGAATCAATCTGTAATTAAATGTGCAATAACTTCTAAATATAATGTATATATATTTGTCAATACCATAGCAATCAGACACACAATGACCTATCTGACAACAAAAGGAGTAAATTTCTTGAAAGGGAAGACATTTTTTTTCTCACTAGCACATATCTCTAGTTTATTTTTTTCAGCCAAACAACACTGAAAAAACACCACATATAATATCAAAATCTTGAAAATAGTTCACGAAGAATCCGCGAGGGTCAAGCAGTGCACACAGATCATAGGTCCACTGTAGGACACTTTTATAGTTCTATCACAATGAATTGGACCTAACTGGGCCCTGCACCTTATTCTATTACACTATGAAAGCTGACAAGGTCTTGTCAGTCATTACCTCTAAAATATTTCAAGTAGGGAACACATTGCATTCATACGTTAGAGGGAGGAGGAGGGGGTCGTAAATGTCCATAACTGTTTATGGTGTAAGTAATTAAGTAATATCATAACGATGTTTGGAGGTAGCAATATTATTGTTTTGTCACTTTTCTGTCCACACTCAACGGTAACATACCAATGTACATTTTAAAAAATTACAATTTGTAGATACTTTCTACTTTGGTCCCCGTTTTCGCAATTAGACTAAATAATTGAATTCCGACTATACAATAAATTCATAACACACGTTAGTATCTCACTATGTATGTTCAATACCTGTATCTATAAATAATATCTGATAAATACCGCTTTCTTCTGTTTTTGTTTCTAGGCATGGCTGCTTGAGAAAATCAAACAGTTATCAAATACGTACCCCGGGGAGCAGGAGTTCTGGGTGGGGCTGACCAATACTGGGGAAAATGAAACGATATGGAGCTGGCCCGATGGATCAACCCTACCCACTAATTTGCTGTAAGTCATGTGATGTTGAAGTTAATCGTAAAATTATTTCAGAATTAGTGGAGAATATGAATATATTAAGCATCAGGTTCGCACTATTTCAAGGAGACCTTGGTACGTTTTTATAGTATCAACATGCTGGAATGTCGTGACCTTGACACAATAGCGTGAAACACCATCAAAAAGACAATGGTGTCCTCAAGCAAAACAACGGTTGCAAGCTTTGGTTATGTGAGGTACAGTGTATGTTTTACGTGAGGTGTTGGAAAGTATTTACGAAATATACGTAATTACAGGGATAGTGTACCTCCCCATCTTGATTTTAATATTTCTTGCGGTCAGTTTAGATTTTCTTCAATCGGCACATCACATAGGTTTATAATTTAGACCTAAGCATCGCTGATGAGTCCTCGAAAGACAAAACAGCTGTTTGAAGCAGTTTAATTCATTGTTTGGCTCTACTATGTCTTATCTACTTACGCGTCTTTTGAACAATTCTGAAGAACGAAGGTGTTATTCAACCTTTGCAATCGTGAATTATACTACACAGACGCTGGGGATCTGGAGAACCAAGTGACCCTGATACAGAGAGATGCGCCGAAATCTGGGATAACCTACTCAATGATAAATCATGTCTCACACCGATTGAGTATGTCTGCGAGCGATCTAAATGTGAGTACCTATTTATCTACTGAGTACATACATTGTTTGGTGATTTTACATACATTTACAAAGTGTGTAAACAAGTTACATTATCTACTTTGTATACAAAAAGGATAATCAGGAGTATTGGTGAATGAAAGTTTGAGTATTTATATGTAGTGAGTACCAGCAAATTCATGTCACCTTGTCTTTTGACTTAATTCATTTGAGTATGCAAGTGTACAAATGTTACATTCTGACGAAGCAGTTTCAGCTTACTTGTTTTGCTTGATTTGAATTACTTTATCATTAATTGATTGTTTACTTCGCCGTTTGTTGATTGTTTACTCATTCAGTGGTACCCCTGACCTGTGACGTTGACGATGGCTGGCAGTACTATTCTGGATCCTGTTATAAATACATATCAGGTTACAGAACCTACAATCAAGCGAGGTACTTACTATAGAACACATGACAGTTTTATTGAAACCTTCTATAAAATAAACGCAGGCCCATATGATATTAAAAATGAAAATGGAAGATTTACACTGCACTCTTATTCAGAAGGCAAATGAGATAAGAACAGTCACAGCCTCATAACTACCGTAAATACACGAATAAAACTAAAGCATTGTATGATTCAGATTCTCCAGAAACATAATTTTAAGTTTGTAAGGCGCCACTAAGGTAGGGGACTATCATCAGCGGAAGTTTCTTTCCTTTTTGTCTACAAAGATGACATTGAAGGAATATACATCCCTCTTGCAACAGGAACTTTCCTTTTCTTTGTATCACTTTCTTACTTTCTGTGCTTTATTTTCCCTCTTAACATCAGTCTTTATATTACACCTGGTGTTGGGAAGACGTAAAACCCCGTGCAAAAATACGTTTTAAGTGTTTTAACCAAATATCCTGAAGATAAATCTTGATTATTGAATTTCTTCTGCTAGACAATCCTGTTTGAATATGGATGCGAATTTGGCTGTAGTGAATAATGACAACGAGCAAAGGGCGGTTAATCATATGGTTACCATGATAAGTAGTTCTCAGAATGCATGGATTGGCCTACACATGGTTAATAACGTAAGTATATATTACACAACACAATCTTCATATCACGAAACTTTTCTCTGATGTTCTCAGTTACATGTCTATTTTGTTAACCGACGAATTCTAGCATTCGCTGCAGCCTTATTATTCTATTGTTAATTTCTGATGATTCATGTTTAAGACGTAGAAATGCCTTTCTGTTAAAGTTTATCAATTTTAAGTGTTAATTATATGATATTATATTAACAAGTTGATATATATATATATATATATATATCGTTAATACCGTTTCACATGCATCAAGTCTTATTGTATTGATATTGAATATGTCCATCGGGGACTGACTCCCTATGAATTATTCAGAAGATTTCAATTTCCAGATGGTTAACTTTCAGTAGGAAAGGACAAGGTCAGAGAGGGAAACATTATATTTTATATTTTGATAAGATATACTCATGAATATTTAAAATTTCTTCTAAAAAAGAATTGATGATGGATGACACAGGGATAACGTATTCATCCTTTTTTAGGGAGTGAATTCGATTGAATCATCTGAAGTAGAAGGGTATTATGTTTGAATTGCTTCCGTATCCCTCACTTACTTTCCATCCAGACCAACAGTGGGCTTGTTTCATATCATTGTAAATATGTCGTTAGATAATATTGATTGTTAATATTATCTTACACGTTTATCGATACAATCGTCTCTCCCTTTTTAAGCATTTAAATCATGTCATAGAGTTTATAACATGTCGAATTGTTCCGTTACTTCTTTTGAAACAATAGTCCTGGGTTCTCACCAACAACACCAGGTTGTCTCCAGCGTCCATGCAGTACTGGCAAAGTCGACCGACATTTGATGGGTGGAGTATACAACGTGTTCTAGCTCAAAAAAATGTTTCCTCTTTTCCATTGTAAACGATGAAATATTAAATTATGAAACCAATTTTGCTTTCCTGACATTTCATATATTGTATAAAGACTTCACATTTTTGATACGTTTTCTTCAGGCTGGTAATGTCAAAGGAATAGAAGTTCTTATAGCCCAACCACTAGAAGATTATAGTGTGACGTTTTGAAGACTACACGATGACATACGTAGTGTATCAGACACACTATTTTCGACTTCAGAGTACATAAGTACAGCCGAAAAAGTTGGTCGATTCCCTACCATCTCGAACACTACGTACGTCAGTGCTAGTACACTCCACACTGGCCATTTGTCTGATGAAGGTGACCGTGTAGTCATCGAAATATCGCACTCTACTGGTTGTGTTATAAGAACTTCTATTCTGTAGACTTCATAGCCATTTCATAAGTAGTCTTTCTTGGCGTTCAATTGAAAATATCCTTCAAAATTACTTTGGAAATAATTAGGAAACATATTGATATAGATATAGATTTAAAATGAATGATATGATTTTTCACAACAAAGTAATACTTTATAATTTCATGCAGCTAACAGTTATGTGTGCATTTGTATTTCAAGAGGAATGCCTATTTAGTCTTTAAATTTGTATTGTTTAGGGGATCAAAATGCAGAGTTACTCTTCATTTAAGCCCGGTATAAACAAAATAATCATTGCTGATACATTCGCGTGGTTTTCGAGCTAATATTATAGATAACAATCAATGTTTTTCTCTCAAAAATCAAAGGAATAATGCGTTCTCCTGTGGTAGTACATATAGTAGCACTATCTATTTTTAGAACGTCCAACTCCGTTTGTGTTGCGATCAACGCTACAGCAAATGGGGACAATTCTTGGTATGCGGAGAGCTGTGATCAGGGCCTGTCATATATATGTCGAAAGCCAGAAGGTTTGCTATATTACGTATACAGATGTCGGGAAAAGAAAGTGTGTATTTGCTGATATTAATAAAACTGTAACGTATTATTTTGACGAACAATTTGTATTAAGTTAAATAGGTATCTGATATGATGATGTAGAGTATCGCTATAAAATATTCTGTTATCGAGTATAATGTAACTGATTTATTCACTTACGATAAACTTTCAGCAATTGAACTGATGATAGCTTTTCGTACGCACTGACAAACGCTTTAAGAGCTCCGTATGAAATGTTTTAAGGACAAATACAATTTTATGTATTTATTTGTTGGACTTGCATTATGAGGATTCTGATCTTTATGCAGGTGTTTGTCCAAGCGGATTTGACCAGCATCAGACAAAATGTTACTTACCGGTTTTCACTCCAGACACTTGGAACAGCGCTAGCGCTTATTGTAACCGCTTGGTGAACGGAGGACGCCTTCTGGACATTAGGAGGTAAGTATGCTATTTTTTCTTAAAAGCAGTCACAAAAACTTCGATATTTTCACAGGATCTTACTTCAAATTCAGATCGGTGGAACTAGGTCAAATTAAAGAAAAAAAAATGACATGGAAATCCCTGAAAACAAACAAGGAGAACGAGGCCAGGCGCTCTGGAAAAAGACGTGTCGTCTGCTTGCCATATCATTACTATTCGTTAATCCAAGTAATTAATATCACCTTTCCAAATGTTTACTAACCAGTACTCACAGGTATCATACATATGAACATGAAATGTGTCCAACTTAATATGCAAAATAAAAAAGAATACTTTTTCAATGAGATGATCATGGCTACCATTAGACGTTAAATAAAATACATACCTTACTTCACACATACGAAATATTGTGTCGATTTAGCATTTAGGGTGATATTTGTTACACTGACAATTCTCAAAGATGACTGCCTAGAACGTTTTAATTCAATCGAAATTACGAAATTTATATAATTATGGGGCTGCTGCAACTTCCTGTCTAGATTTTTGTCTTTTCTTTTAGACCTGTTTGGATTTTCCTTAGTCGCCTACTCGGCTTCAAAATTTTAGCATCACTGATGAGTCTCACAAGGATGAAAAAGCTGTATGACGCAGTTTTATTGATCGTTTGGCTCTTCTATATTTCACCCTAAATTATAAAAAGGTGCTATTCACTTTATATTAATGTTGACTGAAGTCATCGTCACTGTTGCTTTGAACATTTGATTTTTCATTTAGTTCCACAGAGAAGACTTACCTTGTCAGCTATATGAGGCAGCAGAAGAAACGTGGAATGGATAGATCATGGCTTGGTCTATCTCGTAAGTTTTCACGTACCTTTTTATCAAAATTCCGGTAAAAAAAATTACTGGAAAAAATGTCAAATTATTTTCTTAAAATATTTCCACGTGGTACATCCTAAACATTCGTTCTAACTTTATTTTAAGTATATTATAATTTTCAGAGGTATTGAATGCCAACTTACCTTAAATGAAATATGCTTACAGTTTCATAACATGTCGTCTGTTTTATAGGACGTAACAATGATGAGATGTGGACGTGGACAGAAAATCAGCCCGATCAGCTTACCTACTTTAACTGGGCCGCTGGAGCATCCAGCAGGATTTCAACAGGCCGTAGCTGTGTATTCGTATACGCAGGTAACTTGAACATCGAATGTCATTTGAAATGGCAAAGACGACTTTGTTAATGTAAATTTCGGTTCATTCTTATAGCTTTCTTCTGTGTTGTCTGTTAAGAAGATGACATCGGAGAAACCCCCGTTTGTACAATATTGCCAGTTCAACGTTTAAGACCTGCATGACTATTTTTCTCTCACGTGATCGACGGTTTTTTCTCCGGTTTAACCGGCTTTACATGTGCTGCATATGATCATTTTCAAGAATCATTTCCAGTACTATTTCCTTGTTACATTAACTTTGATATTTTACCCAGTTTTGATAGTCATCAGTTTGCACCACTGAAGAGCCATAGAGGGAACAGCTATGGGAGGCTGTTTTATTATATCATACGTTATTGTTGAGTCATGTTGAACAATCCATGTTGATGGTTCCTAGTGAAACGATTTTCTTGTGTCTGCTTTGATCATGAGTGGAAGTGTAAATCTATATTTTGTTAATGTTTTGCCCGCGTTTCATTCTGTGCGAGTGCTTGAATTTAGATTGTGTTAAAATTTCGGTATTTTATTTTGTCTGCTGTTTGTTTATTTTTCGGTCTAGATTCGTTGTCACTGAGTTTAAACTATAATTTTTCTGACATCTCGATATGTCCAGTTTTTATCTTCTGTTAGTTTGAAATGAAGATTCCTTTGTTGTGTTGATGTTTTCTTTGTTTATTTTGATTTTTTGTATTTCGTTCGAGTTTCATGGAATCTTAATTTGAAATAAACATTTTTTGGACGTGTTGGCATTGCCTTCTATTTGATAATGTTTACCCTAGTTTCATTGAAACTGAGTTGCTTTGACGTGTTGGTATTTCGTTGTTTATTTTGTCTACTGTTTGTAATTATTTAGCTCGAGTTTCGTATAAAATGAGTTTTAAAGATGCTTTTGCTATAGTTTTTATTTTTTCTTCTATTTTGTTTATATTTCTCTTTAAGTTGGCTTTTTGAAGGGTAGTGGAATCTTTCCCATTTTTTCCAATATTTATCAAATTTTTCATAGTTATCTCCCTTGCTAATTGCAATAAATCTTTGTACATTATAGTATTTTATGATTGTGTTTACCAAAGCGTTATATTAAGGGAGTTATGGCATTACAGTGCATTAGATATATATATATATTGTTTAATAACAATTAGTATTTCATTATCAATTTTACGATTTAAAATTTGTATTAAGTAACCAAATAAGTAGGATGCTTTGTTAAAGTTAAATAGAAAGATAAATGCATCTAACAGAACTTCAAATCAAAGAAGATTTTGAACCTCTTTGCATTACCATGAAATGTGAGTTATAGTTTCAATCTTACAGTTGCATAGTATACACAGAGGAGATATAGCTAATTGAGTTTTAAAAAGAAAAGAATATATTATAAGACTATGGTGATTACTTCTAAACTGGAACCATTGAAACTTTGAATTTGTCGTTATAAGAAAGTGTAGCCTAAAACTTTGGTGCCATGTAGAATAACACAAATCAAAGACTTCATTCCATTTATCTTACCTGAGGGAATAACCTTGCTCTTGCTTTACAGCATTTAGATTACTTTGATACTGAAGAAAAATAATTTTGACAGCGTTGTATGTATTCAGTACCACAATTGGCCATCAGGTCATATGTTTCTAGAATCACTTGCCACTCTGAAGTAGACTGGAAAGGTCTTCTAATACACCTCAGCATAAGAGAAAATATAAGGGTCTAACATTAAGCATTTCTAAACCAACACCAATGTAATCCGGGGTAACAACTTCCTTTTTTACGTCGTCAGTTTTACTGCTCCAAAGAAATTCACATAGCAATGAGTTTAATTCAGATAGAAACCTGTCATCAGGGTTCGGCAGTGAGATAAATAAATGGTTAGATCATGTTTATTTTACCAATATTGGGTTAATAATTGTCTTTTCCAGGAGCTAACAAGTGATTTAAGTTTTAAAAGATTTTTGTCAAAGTTATATTTTGGTATCTGATGTAAGTTAACGTGAAATAAGTTGAAGTTAATATTTTGTTGATATGCTGATTTTTTCTTTGTTGTTTTTGCCTACTATATCCAGAAAGTGTTACTGTGTATTTAGTTTAGTGTCAAACATAAGTGCAAGTAATACCATGACAGTCACTACTATATGATCTACATTATGTGTTCAGTAGTGTTGACATATCTTCAAAATATCCTATTTAGCGATGTAATTGTTATTCTAGATGACAGTAACGGTAAATGGAGATCGGATTTAAGCTGCGAGCAGAGGATTCCATTTGTGTGTGTGACGAGTGTGGACCGACCACAGCTGACCACAACCACTACCACAACAACAACCACCACTACCACTACGCCAACACCACCAACGACAAAAAATATACCCTCGACACCTCAATCGGGATTAGGTAGGATGTTTTTAAACCATTGATTGGGTCTGGATGACTCTCATTGATTCCAAATTTGACACCATGAAAATTGCACATTAACACGGAACCAATAGACAAACTAAAGAGCAGCAAACAGGCCCATCTTCATGTCGCACCAAAAGAGTTACGAGTTTGTTCGTCAGTTCACTCTTTTTGCAGGAAAATCATAAAAATGGTAACAGACTCTTAAATATTGAATCAACTGTGACATATAAATCCACTCATACTATAGGTTGGGTAAGTAGGGTTGATGCTATCTAGAAACGGAAAATTCCTCATAGGGAAATTGAAATCATAACACTTATCATACAGCTTGGTGGAAAGGTGTCCATTTTAGTTTCGTTGTAGGAAAAGAACGGGATAAAATTCTGCATAATAAAGAGACCTGACAAGGTCTTTGTGACTGTTTGGATAAGCTCATCGATAAATTTAGCCTCGTTTGAGTAATGACGTGAATGAGTCATTGGCCCTTTCTTGTCCTGAAATGTGAAAGATTATAAATCAACCGTAAGGATATTCCCCTATTCTTCTGAATGGGTATTGTGCAGAATGCAGAATGCAAAAACTGATTATTGCAAAACAAGAATTAAGAGTTATTTAAAATTCACAGTAATTTATTGACGGAAATGTGGACGGGTGCCGATTAATATAACGCAATTGTGAAAACGTCTCATTTTAAAACGTCAATTATTGTGCTTTGATAAAATCATCACCTCACTTCGTTCAACGTTTCGATATATATCTAACAATCGCACAATGCAGCCATTGGTCCATATATAAATCAGCGGAAAGACACTCTCCTATTCCTCTAAATGATTATTCTGCGGAATGTTATAACTGATAATTACTAAATACGAATTTAGAATTATCAAAATTCAGGGTTCTTTATTGCCGGAAATATGAATGTGTGCACGAGGAATATGGCGTTGTTGTGGAGAATTCAAATACATTTCGTTCTCGCAAATGCCTGAGTTATTTGTTTACAATTTTAGTCGCAACTAGAACAACAATACCATTAACAAGTTCGACTACGGTGCCAACAACATTACCGACAGATCCACCAGGTAAAACGTTTAATTCTTTGATTTGTTATAAAAAAATTGCTGATCTGACGCCTTTCATAGATAAAATGCCATACTTAACTTCTTAATAAGGGACTACTAGATCGAGTGCGCAATAACACAAACTCCGATATCACTGAGTGAATGTTGCATCTGAACAAAATTTATTAAATGCCTTTCTTCGGTGACCGAACTACAGTATATATAAAGAGATTTGGGATTCATAGTAAACTAGAATATGAATGTACTAAATTAAGCATTCAACATTTCAAAAAAGGGAGAGGGGGTAATCATTTCGATAATTAATGTTTATAGTGACCTGGAGTGCAAGGTGTGGTCCATTTTGGGAAGAAGCTCATTATTCGGGAATATGTTACAAATTCAGCGACGAGAAACGAACTTGGATTGCCGCTGAAAATCACTGCAAAGCAGCTGGTGGCTATCTTCTCAGCATTCTTGGGGCTCACGAGCAATTCTATATAGGAGGTATTTGATTTTCATGGTGTCAATTCACCTTAAAAACTCCTGATCTAACCAATTGTTTGAATGTGATATGTTTCACTCAGACAGATGTTCGCAAATCATAGAATAAGTCTATTTTTAAAGCGAAAAATGAATATTTATGGTAAAAGCTAGGAACTCGTTTTGAAACTGTTAATTAGACAGATGTTCAGTGATTTCACCAAGTCAACGCTCTTGCTTGTTTCCTCACGATTCCAGGAAGAATAAGGTCGATGAGGTCAAGCAATCTCTGGATAAGTGCAAACAGTAGGAGTGATGGGGGAGGATGGGAATGGACAGACGGTTCACCATTCGGTTTCGTTAACTGGGAGCCAGGTAAAATCAACTTGAATTAACCAACAGTTAAGTCTACTTATATTCAAACGTTATTCAATATTTTAAATAGGAACCATTGATCGATTTACTGGAAGAGAATTCCCTTTATCGGTATATTTTCTTATTCAGCTTACGATTTTGTTTCAACTATCATTACAAGAACGGGCATGCATTTATATCTTACGCCTTTATAGGATAATCCTGTTTTTGAGAATGCCATAATTGACCGCAGTAACATTGAAACCTGATTAGTGTGTTTATTTCTCTGAACGTGTGTGTTTTACTGACTTATTAGTGGCTCTTCGACTTATGTATCTATTCATTGAATATTAGTATTGTAAAAATGGTTATTACGTCACAGGTCAACCTGACAGCAGTGATAACACAGAGGATTGTGTCAGCATGATTGTCAAGACATCGAGATGGGAAGATAACTCTTGCAATGACAAAAATGGATTTATCTGCAAGAAACATGGTGATTGATTGATAGGAGAATTCTAGGAAAGCTAACTCTCTTTTATCAAATATATCCTGAAAAGCGTTCCACATCTGCACCTATCTAGTATTTGATCTAAATCTAACAACTTGTTACTGTCAAATTTATATCGAATAAGACTACGTACTATCATCAACTATTCATTACATCTGCTTATGTTTTTCATAAATATATATCATAGTACTAGCTATAATTGTTCTTCATTAATGTAACTATTCATTTTTATCACTTTAAAATGTAAAATGCCAAATTTCAAGCGTCATTGTTTCAAGTTATCTCCCTTCCGGTATTCCTTTCATGTAGGATTATGATGATGCTTGTTTGTTTCGTCAGTATTAACTGATCAGCAACATAATATTATAAAACTGTCTCTTTACATGTACCGGGCATTAGGTCTAACTCCGTCTACCGTTCTGCCCAAAAGTCCGACCCTCGGACCCATTCCTGGTGGTAGGTCTTACTCAACGGTTTGCTATGCTTATCAATATGTTTCCTTTATTTGATTTTTCATTCAGTTAATATGGTTTGCATACCATTAATCATTAAGATATTTTTTGTTATTGCTGATATTTTTTAATTGTATTACACTGTTACAATATATATATTAAAGCGCCACTACTAGTATTGTTTAGTTTTATTTAAAAAAGAGGATAGCTGGACGCTTAAACTTATTCAGTGAATATTGCTATTTGTAAGTATGACAATGATTAAATAACAGAATAATAATTTTCAGCTTTCATTGGGGAAGTATTTTAGTGATGAACCATTACAGTGCCATTATATTTTCTTCGTAAATCATATATTGGGGTTAAATAAATTTGAGTGTGGCACATAGCTATTTGTCAATTTGTACATAGAAAATCATTTGAAAGAAAGTTCCAAATTGCTGCATCACAGTTGTTAAATAGTGTCGGAAAATTGTATATGTATTTTGCTGACAACAACACGAATTCCAGTGTTTATATGATAGTTATTTTGCAGCATCATTTTTGACCTAGTATCCCTAATAGTCTTTTCTTATGTATTTATAGATGATCAATACTACGGTTGTCCAGCTGGTTGGAAATCCTTTCAGCATTCTTGCTTCATGGTTCAACGGTCGCGTATGATATGGTTGGATGCTCAGAAAGCTTGTCGGTCTATGGGCGGGGACCTGGCTACAATCGACAACGAAGATGAACATAATTTCCTTCTAAGCCAACTGCCAAAATGTATGTCGGCATTGCCGTAAGGGTTTGTTCATTCTTAAATGCTATTGATTATCGTAATACTGCATTAGAGATTAGGTGTCTGATATGATCAAACAGCATAGCACTGTAGAATAGAATTTTTTATACTACAACTAGAAACAAATGAGTGTGACGTTTCGATGACTACACGGTCAACTTCATCAGACAAATGAATACTGTGATTTGTACTAACATCCTATGTACATTAAGGTCGCAAATATTTCCGAACTGAGATTACAATTTCAAAAGTAAGAGAAACCATTAACTTTATTTATTTCAGCACATTGCTATAACATGCACCACAATGACACACAATGTGATGTGTGGGCAGCTAATGGAGAATGTTCTATAAATCCAAGATGGATGGCTACGCATTGCCACCTGGCTTGTAAAATCTGTATACAGGTGAGATATTATGTAATTTACCGAAGTTATTAATAAGCAGTGTTCATATATACATACATCACAAATATTACGTTGCTATGGTACATTTGATTGATAGCAAAATGTTGCTTATCTTAGACTTGATATATATTGTATAGATAGCGATTTTGGTACAAATGCAATTGTTGATTTAGTAGATTTTTCATTTACCCAAAAGCGCTAAAGAAACCAAAACGGTGACTGGCTTCCAATGGTGAAGACAAATGAAATAGATATAACAGTGTATATGTAAATTTTAAAGACGTTGTTAAGCCAATATAAGAAGACATGATACATCATTATCAACCAAGATACATTGTCAATCAAACGACATTTCTTGGAAGATCTCCACCAAACAACATTAGACTCTTGCTTTCTACATTTTCCAGATATATTCCAGACATATTTATAACTGAATGATACGTGAATCGCGTTTATTCCGATCAACCATGACCCCTTGGTAGATATTCTTATAAACATATTCGTTGCGAAATACAGTTGGCTATAGGTCTTCTTTAATTGATAATGGACGGCTAAAACACTTCTACAAGACATTAATCCATCGTTTTTCGCTCGTTTAGTGGGTTTTGACTGAATACTTTATGCCACTTTTTTAATGTAAAATCGACGTTTTAATAGAAATTTGTGTATAAGCTTTCCGGATAAATCTATGTAACATACTACAAAACTTTTATCTCTCTGATGAAATATTCTTTACCATAATGTCAGAACAATATTTACACTACCAACAAAACAACCTTAACACTATCAGCAAAGCAACCTATACACTATTGACAGAGCAACCTGTACAAAGCAACTTCCACCATACTGACATAGCAATCTCTACATTATACCAACCTATAACTTAGAAACCTTTACCACTTTCATAAAGCAATCTTTGCATTACCGACGAAATAGCTTTTATGTTATTAGCCCACCATCTGATGATCTATTAAAAACGCCCTGCGTCCGTGGTCCGTCCTCCGTCCGTAAACAATTCTTGTTACAGCTATTTCTGGAAAATGCTGGATGGATCTTTCTCAAATTTTATATGCAGGTTCCCCTTGGTCCCTAGTTGTGCATTGTACCTTTTTTGGACTGATTCGAAATCAAGATGGCTGGCAGGCAGCCATCTTGGGATTTGAGAGTAAAATGTTGTTACTGCTATTTCTGAGGAAGTACTGGATGGATCCTTCTGATATTTTATAGGTATTGGTTTTCCTTGGTCCCTAGTTTTGCATTGTACCTTTCTTGGACTAATTTGAAATCAAGGTGGCCCACAGGCAGCCTTCTTGGATATCGACAGTAATACAGCACAAGCATATTTTCTTCGATATTCTATCATATTGATTCAAGACCATGTCCATTATCCACCTGTAACTGACTGATATCTAATAATACTTTGGGATCTTTTTCAAATGATATTTGCTAATAGGTGCTTAATAAAGATATATTGTACCATCATTGAGTACATTCAATGAAGGCCCGTTCATAAACATTTACAACACCTGTAACAAAAAAAAATTAATTAATAAAAATAAACAAATAAACAAATCTTGAAGAACTGAAAACAGATCCTCAAATGGTGGGCGCCAAGATCCCTCTGGGATCTCTTGTCAACTAACAACTTTAGCTTACCGACAAATCAATATTTACACTACCTACAAAACAGCATTTACCTACTAATGATGCAGCCTTTACACCACCGAGTACAACATTTACACTACTAACAAGACAGCTTATTCAGTAATCAAGTATACGCAACGCAATGTGTGTACGTTTTAGACAGGATTTGTATCTGAATAACCACAGGATTGCAAAGATCTATACAACACAGTGGAATGTGCTCGTTGGGCAAAAATAGGCGAGTGTGATATAAACCACGACTGGATGCTGAAGCAGTGTCCTCTTTCCTGTGGTATTTGTGATAGTGGTAAGTGAAATAAAGTTTTTAGATGTTTTAGATGGTTATTGTTCAATATGTTTGAAAATATATCTTCCTCGCCGCTTCATACGTTATGATAACTTAGGCCCTCAGGAGTTTTAGAATGACTTAACATTCTAAATGTCGTATTTTGCCGTAAATATATTTGGCTTTACCGCATGTAATTTTAGTATTGAAATAACAATTGAGATAATATTCTCATTCAAGTAGAAGTTTTCATCTGAACGTGTAAGCACCTAATTGAAAGCAGGACACATTTATAAGTTACCCATCCATTGAAGATGAAAGTAAAGCATACATTCAGATCCCTAATTACTAGTTAGTCTGATACATTGAGCAGTTGTCTACGGAGGATTCTGGATAGGTCTTCATGACAGAACTGATCACATGACGTTTCAATGGAGTGACGGAAGCAGAGTTAAGTATACATACTGGGCGGAGAATGAACCCAACAACTTTGGACGCAGGGGAGAGGAGTGTGTTGCCATGTATCTTCAGGTGGATTATTATGATGTTTTGAAGCGTTTTTTTTATTGCATTGTGTAATACAGCAATGTACAAATATTCCCAGAGATAGTATACTATATTTATTTACATTAAAAAATCCACAAGATTATTCAATTTTGATTTTAATTGTCATACAGCAGATGCTAAGTACGTGGTACTGATATTTGCATATAAGTCATTAAAAAATGCATGCCGATGTTTCCATGTTCAGAATCCATGATTCTAATGGTCTATTTTTCTTGTATATTTGGAAAAGGATTATGATAACAACATTTGCAGTTTGTGGGTCCATTTTTTGTTTGTCGATATCTTAATATTATTCCAGAAAATGACATACAAATTTTAAGAAAAAATAGACAATTTTATCCTAAAAAATGCATTTTCAGAATGGAAAGTGGAATGATGCCCGGTGTGACGATCCTTTACCGGGACATATATGCCGCCAACCTAAAAGTCTCCAGCCCAAGACCACACTCTCGCCACTTGGTGTTGGCTGCACTAACGTGAGCTACGTATTCGCTGTTTGACTCTCTGTCAGCATTGTGTCGTAGCTAAATATTCCATCATTTCAGATATCTATTTAATTTATTGTCTTTATACCTTTTCATTGTTAAGTTTTATGTCAAGTTTTTGCCAAGCAATGTCTGCATTCATCGTTTTAGGACATTAGAAAAAATGCATTTCGTTTAGAAGGATTTTTAATGTCAGTTTTCTGTTTCAGGGGAGTATCGGTTACAGTGCGTTCTGCTACTTTATGCGTTACGATAGACTGTCATGGCAAGTTGCGGAGGACACATGTCAACGGGATGGAGGGCATCTTGCTACGTTAAATGACAGGTTACTTATACATATATATTTTAGATTTTTTATCAAATAATTTTCATATCAGCACGTGAATCAGTACTAAGTGTTGCCAAAAGAACTATCTAAATAATGAATAAGCAGATAAGTAAATCAATGTGTGAATCAATTCATAAAATACTAGGTTTTATCGAGTTGTAAAAACATTGGTTTATACATCATATAATTCTACCTGACATTTAATTGAAACTACAATCTGAATAGAAAGTATTTAGTTTCAACACAGGACAACAGGACTAGGTAATGATTTATGTGTTTACAAAAATAGGTATATCGATAAACAATAAAATCTGAACATGTGAATTATGAAAAAAAAGAAATATCAGACTGAAACCCTTCATTGAGATTCACTAATATCAAACGTTGTATTTAAGGTATGTCCAGTCTTTCATTGCTAGCCAGATAGTTGGAAAGGAAGGACAATTTTGGATCGGTTTAACGGATCAGTATAATCCAGGAACATTTGATACATGGAACAGCGGTGTCGAATTGACTTTCACGCACTGGGGAAAAATGAAAATGAATACAGGTTTGTAGCCAATTAAGAATTGTTACATGTATTGTACTGACATTTGGTACACAATAAACACATTTCAAATAAAGACAAATTGATGACGCAGTATCAGTGTGTTATCAATATAGGACCACATTTTCCCTTAAAATAAATAAGTTAATAAATAACTGAACGAATAGATAAATAAAAGTTTATTTGCATTAGTACTTTTAAAAAAGCAGATTTTTTTCAGAATTTCCCTGTTAAGCATTTCTTTCAGATAACAAAAACGTCAGCATACTCGTACGAAATCAAGTAAAGAGTAATTATATGATAAATAGTGATGATAGAGTGATCTCTTTCAATTAAGTATTATCTAAATAATCTACATATCGTTGTGACCAAACAATAACAGTTATCTATGTTACTGAATAAAAAACATCATCGAGGTAAACTTTCTATATGATATTTATCTCACTGAAAACTGACTTTGTAAATCTGATCATCGTCTGAAATGTGAAAAATTATGTTTTGGTACTAAATATATTTGAACACATTCATTTGCTGTGAATTTAAATACTGGTTGCTTGTACTTCTGCGTACAGTTCCAAAATGCTTTATTATGAATACCACTGATGTTTTAGGTTGTATACAGTTTTTGGCTGTTGACTGAAAACAGGAGAAAGCATACATTACTTTTCATATATACAAAAGTAGTATATTCACTTTGTGCAGGCTTCGGTATTTACAACACAATTCCTTAAATGTAAGTCGTCTAATGGAACAATCATGCAAATAAAATAAATGACACTTCAATTTGAAATATAGTCATTGACGATGATCCTGCGTGCGTCGCCATGTCGACAGACCATCCAGTGGGTATGTGGATGAAAACAAATTGTTCGATGGAGAGCTGGTCTATATGTGAATACCCAAGAAGTGGTTTCACCACAACCACTACAACCACTGTTAGTACAACCACCTCTCCACCATCTACATGTGCAGAAGGCTGGTCCAACTACACCGATAACTGCTACAAGGTAATAGTTTAAGTGTCATGAGGATATACCATAATAAGATGAGACTGTATCTTTCACATGGTTTACTTCACTGAAACTGCTTCTTCTAAACTATATAAAAATCATATAAATTATATATATATATATATATATATGCAGATTAGGCCCCACCCCTCTGTCCCATGGAGTTCAGATGCATAATACACAAAATTGAAATTCTCCTCACCCTAGGAAGTTTCGGATGTAAATTGGAGCAAACGTTTTAATGAATTTGCTGTATTTTGCGTCTTGCAACACGTCCCTCCCGCACCAATAAGTTGAGACCGACCATATACAAAACTGATTCTGCACAAAAGAATGCTGCAGACAAACTTCTTGCAAACCGCAACCATTCCTACAGTACAAGTAGGATTTCCAACATTTTTGGCCCTGCCATATCGACCCGATAGGTCGAGACCAAACAATTATATCAGACTTGTTTCCCTTTCCAAAGGATGCTTCAGAATAAACTTCGTCAAAATCTGCTCAGTCATTCATGACTAGTAGCGATTCGAAGAAAAAGCGTTCACGGAAACCGCAGTATAACATAAACTCACCGGTGTATCGGACCTTAGGAGCTAAAATATTCTTGGAAACAATACTGCATTATCAGAGAAAGTAATTTTGAGATATATGTACAATATATTTAATGAGCAATATATGCTATCCTGAGGATAATGTCTTTAAAAAATCAAATATGGCATTCTCGCTTAGTTTACGTTTTGTGAATATGTTTTTAACGGTTACTTATTTTGACGCTTCAATCACAGGCTTTTGTTGGAGGCGATAAGTTGCCATGGCTGAATGCACGTTCCAAGTGTAGAGCGTTTGGTGGGGATTTATTGAGTATTCACGGAATTGGTGAAGAGGAGTTTATATATGAAACTCTTATGAAGTAAGCAACATACAATGGCATTTAAAATAGTGAAAATAGTCGATGCATTATGAGACAGTGGTTTCTAGTTCACTAACACGTCATTTGTGACTGTGTATGGTATTTTCCTATAGACGTTAACAAAGTCAAACCTATTCACATTCAAGCTTTGAACTCTAAGTATTTCGAAACAGACAATAATTAATAATTGTTGTGTATTTAAAGAATTGTCCCCTCCTTTCTTTCAGTATGATTGTGCAATTTCCAATGTTTGTACTTTACAAGAACTCGTTTATTCATTAATTAAAATCAGTATGAGATTTCTGGAAAGGAAAAATACATTGTCGAAGAAGAACAAGAAGATAAACCTAATAAATGAAGCTGTTTAAATAGCATCGCGGTCACATCAAAATTGACAACAAATTATGTTACTAATCAGGATTCCTAATATTTTGTTTTTTACGTAAATATTACGTATGAAATACATTGAAAGGTGTGCACGACAGAAAAATCAAACGATACCTTACTGTCATCAATATTAAAATGTACATTTCTTTTCGTAAAAATATTTGAACATATGTTTTAAGTCTTCCCGATATTTTTGACGACATACGGCATGTAGTTTACCATATGTTGTGCTTTGAAAAAAAATCTATTTTACTCAAGCCTATGATGAGATGGAATAAAACCAATTTTTCAGGAGGACATTGATGCCCATATGGATTGGACTGAACGACAGAGACTTCGAAAATGGTAACTGTTATTTAACCACTTAATGGTCCATAAAACCATTAACAAATTAGATATTATTAAATTTTAATCAAACAAGTATGGAAATGCACCCGGATTTTGCGTTAATTGGTCTCTCTGGTGTGTAAATTTCACACCTCAGATATTGGCGAGGTGGTGTGTACCGAGTGAAAAACATTACCTTTATACTGGTATAAACGTGACGGGTATCTGAAATACATAATTCAGTACCTCCTACGCCGTATATCGGATCTCCTAGACTCCATATTGACAAGAAGAAATTTTAAAGCTTTCTTTGTCATAAAAATGATTTGGATACAGTCATCAAGTCAATCGAAGATACAGTGAATTCTAATAAGAATTTCAATGATATCTAGTCAAATTTTATTTCTATGGAAATTATCGGTGATATCGGCAATGTTGATACTGATGTTGGTAATGTCTTAAAGAATTGGAAAGACGACCAAAGGTCTCTATTCTCGCCAACATATTTATACTGACAAAAGTTTGGTTGTAAACTCAGCCGAAGAAGTAGAGGAGCCTGTTAAACGGACTAGATTTAAAAAAGTGCCAGGTTCAGCTTATATTCCGTCTGAGGTATCAAAACGATGTTTGTATATATCTGTTATTTACACTTATTGACAATATCTTCAGGCAGGTTGTATTCCGGGCCGCTGGTAAGATACCGTTATTATTTGCTATTTGCAATTATTCCTAGACCTATTTTAACCACGATAGAATGAATCGCACATCTGTGCAAAAGCAATTGTCCCCTATCGTGGGTAAGTAATTTGCACATTGGACATCGTATAAAATTATACGGCCCCACCGATATGTTTCATTGTTTGAGAAAGTTTAATGACTTTATCATTTTCATTTCCTTGACAGTCATGTTATGTTATATGATGTAAATGTAAATGCATAAATTTCTTTGTAAGTGTGTTTCCGTAAATATGTCAACAGGATTCACGTGGTCCGACGGAACACCCGTGGATTTTACCAACTGGGATGCTGCTGAGCCTAATGATGGCTGGCACCAGGAAGACTGTGTAGAAATCCCTGCTTGGTCTCGAGAGTGGAACGACAATAATTGCTACAAAGCACAATCTTTTGTCTGTAAAATAAAGAAAGGTTTGGCACTAATTTCACTCTATTGGGGAAACTATCAATAAACAGAGAGAATAAAATATTTTAACGTTTCACCACTGTTTCCCCGTTGATCTTGATAGTATTTTGACATGGTCAGTATCTTGTATGCTTTTATACACGAAATGATATTAACACTATCTGCAACGTATACTGATTGTTAATATCTCATGCACACTGTTATATATTTGTGTATCTTTGGATAATTCCACAGAGCATTTGTTGAAATTCATTCACAGGTTTCCCGTTGATTGAAGTGGAAAATCACACTGATACATATTCAGCAGGTAATATCAAATTTTCTGTAAAATTACATGTTTAAGGGTATTTTAATTGTCTTAATAACTTATAACTATTTTATCGATACGTCAGCGTTCGTAAAATATCCACATTTACCGAACTTTTAATTCAGTTAATTTATCAACATATAGATTCGTCGATTACCAAGATTACCAATAATACCAAGATTGATCTCAACGAAAATTTTCCGTCTACAAAAACTCGAATATTTATTATTTTACAGCATCGACACGATGTTCATTGCTTTTTAACGCAGTAGCGTATATAGTCTATCTATAATATGTCCAAAAGATAACTCCAATAGATAACGTTATGTGAAATGGGTGGAAATATTATAGCACTTGTAAATATTAAAACTGATATATTTCGTTTGTTCTGACCCTTATTATTCTAGAATATGAAAAAAAAATTCAACATTCCAAGAATTTAGATATTTTCATTGAATGTGTTTTCATACCATAATATTTCCAAGGCATTATCAAATATCTAGTTTCTGACGTGATAATATTGAATAAGTATCGTAGTTCTAACAATAAAATACGTATTATCTTCCTTTACCATTTCCGATGTTTGCTTTGACCATAACTAGTCTTCAATTGTTTCATAAATAGAGAAGTGCGGCGGCAAGGACAGTGAATGGTATTTCCACAATGGGTTCTGTTACAATTTTGTGAACAGAATGGCGGATAGAGTTACGTGGTATGAGGCCAGGGAGAGCTGCCAAGCCAATGATAGTTATTTAGTCAGTGTTCATTCACAAGACGAGTCCAACTTCCTCATATCATTGGTAAGTGGTATTTTTTATATTTATATATTGTAAATAAAATCCCCTTTCTGTGTGTTTGCTTTACTTCCTTTTGTTAGTCGGATGGTGCAGTGGGAACGCACTAAGCGTCCAGGGTTCGATTCCTGGAACGGGCATGAAAAATGTATGGGGTCATCTGGATGGCAATTTCGGTTTTCCCGGGTATTCTGGTTCCCTCCACCTTAATACACCTTGCGCTTCAATCTGGATCAGCAAGAGTAATTGGGATCAGTTGGAATAACTTGTATCGCAAATGACATAGATAAATAAGGTTTATATACTTAAACGAAAAAGAAACGCCGTGTAACCTAAAAAGATTCTTTTAAATGATATAATTTAATGTTACATTATTTCATTCATTTTTGTATACGATTTCATCTGTTTGGAACCATTTGTTGAAGGTTCTATCGATTATCAATGCTAATTATGCCAAAAATATCCCCCTTTTAGCGATGACCCTAATTGTATTGCGCAACACGGCCGGACATTTCACTATCTTGTGTTTCCTCCATGCGCAGCTGTCGCAGCCCTGATTCTTCTATGCATGGAATTCATTAGGGTGTTAACCATTGCAATGGGGATGGTATTCCATTCTTCATGCAAGGCACGTGTGAGCTGGATCAGCTTAGTGGAAGCATTTGGACGTCTCCTAACTCTCCTATCCAATTCGTCCCACACATGCTCAATTGGAGACAAATCTGGACTGAATGCTGGCCAATCGATTGGGATTACGTTATTGTTGGCAAGAAATTGCTGACAAACTCCAGCGACATGGGGCCGGGCATTGTCTTGCTGGAATATCAGGTTCCGTGCTTGCACACATGGCACGGCAACTGGGCAAAGGATTTCGTCTCTATACCTTACGCCGGTTAAATTACCGTTAATCACGATCAGGGGTGACTTAAACTCATAGGAGATACCGCCCCAAACTCGCACACGTTGGACGTTGAATTGTCCGAATATGCACACCAAAATGTGCAGCAACCTGAAGTTGGCCCTGACCCTGCAAAAGCATTCCTATAGCCTGTCTCCGCTGGACTTCCGTCAATCGTGGCATGGAAGTAAATTGCTTAATTCGAATCAAACTTTGAAAAATCAATCCGAATACTTGAACAGTATCAAATAGACTGAAAATTTCCATAGGCGAACTCGATGACCTTCCCCTGCACGGGATTCTTGTATTTTAGCACGTGCCTCGCACGGAGCGCGGAGGTCCGGTATTGTGAGATTTTAAACACGTGTACCTAGTGACCACGAACAACACATCAACCTGACCGAGTGTCATTATTCTAGGTCAAGCAATAAATCATTTGTAGTATATTTAGTGTACTCAGCGTTTCTTTTTCGTGTTAGTATATTTCATTGAAATAGAATAACTATATACAACTATTACCTTTTAAGTTTTAATGAATTTCTTTAAAAGTATTTATTACCGATAATGATCTGAATTCTTGTAGATATAATGTTACCTGGTAGGTTATTTTTTATTTCTTTTATTTTTGAAAAGTTTCATAATTTTTAGAGATACTGACATCTACATATGCAACACACTTTCCCATGCATCATCATCATCATCATCATCAGTAGAAGTAATTATCGTCATGGTATATTTATCAACACACTCGTCATTTATCATCCTACCGTCACACATCTTCCACACCCTAACACACTATTATCATTACCATAATAAAAACAATAACAATTATATAATAATAATGATATCACCATCAGCATTTTCATCAACATCAGCTTTTTCTACCAACAAATGGACATGCATACCTTTATACATGCATCACTCACATCCTCACACACGCCTCTGCTCTGAGAGAGAGAGAGAGAGAGAGAGAGAGAGAGAGAGAGAGAGAGAGAGAGAGAGAGAGAGAGAGAGAGAGAGAGAGAGAGAGAAATGGCTGGGCTACAGACGAAACTAAAATATATGTAAGTAGAGAGAAAAATTTCCTTTTCATAGATGTTATAATAAAAAATACACAAGTGAATTCACCAATCATTAATCATTAAAAAAGGAAATTTGTCTGCGAAGAGAAGGAATGATATATATATATTTAAGAAAAACTTGATGGCGGATCATATCAGTACCAATTAAAGCTTAAATGTCACTTAAGTCTAATAATCTTCTCCATTTCGCCATTTATTTTCTAAATTCTGCTGTGCAAGATCACCTTTGCTGTTAGCGATATATTTTTGAAATGTTTAATACTCTTTAATTGATTTTATCAGAATATTTGGATTTAAAATTTTATGTATACATCTTGATTTATATATATATATAACTTAATCATGATCAGAATTTCATTACCTACTGAGTTTCCTATAGCATTGTCATAATCTGAAGTTACCCCAAAAATACAGCTTTTCTTATTAAAAGAAAATGGAATCAATCATGCATCAAGAAGAGTTTCAACATTAACCAAAAAATTCTGAGTTTCTCTACATTCCCACAAGGTATAAAGTATTGTCTCTCTCTCCAAGTTACAGAGATGACAAATAGGACTATTTGCAAATCCAGCTTTAAACAAATATGTATTTGTTGTTAAAATATGTTGCACTATTCTGTATTGAAACCATTGTAGCTTTGTGTTATTTGTAACCTAAAATGGCGTTTTATAAATATCGGACCAGGTCAACTCAATATCTTCAAATATGTCTTCCCACTTCTTCCTACCTATAGATACAGTACATTTCTCAATCTTAAAAATATATAGATCCTTAGTCCCTTTTGTATTTTTCACGAAAAAAAATATGTTACTTGGGATGATAGGGTGAAAGATTAACTGCCTTCTATAGCCTATCGTTGTTAAATATGATTTAATAGCAGAGGTCACACTATTATATTGAAGAAAGTTTGTATTAACTTGATGAATCTAATTAAAATCTTGAAGAGTGTAGAACAAGCATGTATCAATATTTTTATCAAATCATGAATTATTGTCACTCCCCTCTTGTACCACGATTGATACAAAGTAGTCTTTTTCCCAATAAGTGAATCTCTGTTATACCATAATGGCAATGTCAATATGGAGTTTTCTTTCCTTTACTGTATCTGAATCATTTAATCTTTCCCAGGCTTAAAACATATCCTCCCAGAATTTATTTTTGCATTTATTTTTACATTCTTGAATATAGGCACCGCCTCATATAGATAATTTACGTTGGTCTGAGATAATTTTGAAAATATATGCACTTTGATGTATTTTTATAAAACCTAATATTAATGAATCTATAAATACCCTAACATTAACCATTTTCAGACCCCTCCCCCCTAATAATAATTCTGCATGATAATATCTCTCTTTATTTTATCCACCTTACTATTCCACAAAAAGTTGAATAAAACTGTATTGAGATCTTGCAAAAACTTTTCATCTGGTTAGGTAAGGAAATAAATAAATGGTTAAATTTTGAAAGAAGAAGATATTTTATTAAGACTATTGGTGTAAGTGCTCGTCTACTCCAATTTTAACAAGCATTTAAAGTTTAATTAGTTTTTTATCACAATTTAATTTTGGGATCTCATGTAAATTAACACTAAAATCTATTCCAAGCAGCTTAAATTGATCTTTTCTCCATTGTAAGCCTAATTCAGGCAAAAATGTATCTTCACTGTATGTTCACTTTGCTCCCTATCTCAATAACTTGAGTTTTATCAACATTGAGATCTAAACCAGATATCTTCGCAAAATATTTCAATTCGACAATAGATTCTGTTAAAGACATTTCTGAACCATCTACAATAAGCGACGTGTCATCTGCATACTGAGAAAGGAGAATTGGACAGTTATTCACATTGATACCCTTAATCTTATTGTTATTTCTAAGTCTAATTCCTAGTATTTCAACCCATAGTATGAAAAGGTATGGTGCAATTGGGTCGCCTTGACGACAGCCTCTTTTGATATTTACAAATGAAGATAAATCAACCCCCTGATTTACAGTTGCAGTAACGTTGGAGTGAAACAATCTATTCCAATTTCTAATATGAGGACCAAAATTAAAATAATTCAAAACATTATCAATAAATTTCCATGATACTGAGTCAAACGCTTCCTCAAAATGTAACATTAATAACACACCTGGGATATATCTGTACGTGCCTTCGTCCATTATTCAAGTTCTATCTTGGACCCAGTAACTGTTAAATGTTATATCACCCTTTGGAATACAAGTAATGACACCTTGTCTTTGTGTTATAGATAACAAACCTTTACTATATCCCTAATTAATAGATCTAACAATGAAAATTCCTAGCTCTTTCCAAAAACATTTAAAACATTCAACAGTAAAACCATCTGTACCTGGACTTTTGTTATTCTTCATGTTTTTACAAAAGTTTTGCTGCTTCCTCTATAGTAATTAGCCCTTCTAAATTTTCAGCCTCATTATTTTTTATATTGGAACATCACATCCATCCAACAGTACAATCAAATCAACATCATCTGTCTCATATCTGTCATCATATAGTTTTTCATAAAAAGAACGTACCCTCTCAAGAATATCTTCCTGTTGTGATATTATGACATTTTCTTTCTCTGTCTTTGATATTATTTTAGAGATAAAATTCCTATTTTCTAAATTAAAAAAAACATTTAGTTGGCTTTTCCCCCTGTTCATGCCATTGTACACTAGATATTATAGCATTGTCTTTAATCTTGTTAACTATAATATTTTTTAACTGTTTTTTCTTACATTCTAATTCTTCAATATCAACCTGCTTTTGGTCCTCCAAGTTTTGTATCTCGTTTCTAATAATGTTTTCATTTCTATTTACAGTTTCTTTTTAAAGGATGAGTAGGATATGCTCTTTCCCCTAATTTCCATTAACAATGTTTCAAAAAAGGTTGATCATCAATTGAAAATTGAATCTCAGTAACTGGAATATTAATTATATTATTCCTATTGTAAACAGGTAGGCAATACTGCATTTTTGTCTGTAGAATAACATTTTTAACCAAATCAAGATACACCTCGTCATTTAGGAAAGAGGAATTAAATTTCCACAGATCCTTTCCTCGTTTAAATTCATTAAATGTTAAATTAAGTAAAGGAAATGAGTGATCTGACCTGTGTCCTGGTTCAATAGTTGCACTAGTTACACTGGATAGTAAATTATCTGATATAAAAAAATCTAATCTAGCCTGTTTCAATGGGTTCTCTTCCACGTATATCTTCTATCTGAATGCAGTTCCCTATAAATATCGACTAAAGAGTGACTTTCAATAATTTCTAAAACTTTCTCACTTGCCTACTATCATAGTCAGGACTTACAACTAGGTTAAAATCACCACAGATAATGTATTTAGCATTGCCAAAATCCCCAATAGTATCAGCTACCATATCATAGAAGCTAGGCGAGTCAGTATATGGACCATACACTGTGCTGTGATTAATGTAATCTTAGCACCTTCCAGTGTGATATCAAGAGCCAAGAAATTTCCGAACAAATCGTTCTTTCCTTTATTAACTGTAATTTCAAAATTGTTATTAAACAGAATTGCAACCCCTCTTGAATTAGATCTAAAGGAATTAAAGTAGCACTAAAACCCTCATTTATGTCTACTAATGTTTTGATTTTCATCAGTAAAGTGTGTGTCTTGCAGGCGGTAAATACAACATTTCCTAGCTTTTAGATGAGAAGAAACGTCTTTTCTTTTAATACTGCCCCCAAGCCCCTGACAGTTCGCAGACAACATGGATACACCCTCCATCATGTTACATCTATAGCGTTCGGGAGTATAATATTTAGTCCAGTCAAAGAGAGCAAAAGTAATGTAGAAGAGAAAAGCAAAGATAACATAAAAGAAATTAACACAAAAAATTGATCGATAAACCAGAGGAAGTCCCTCTCTGGTGGTACTGAGTCATACCCTAGTCCACTATCGATCACATCATTCGATATCTACAATATTTGTGTTTACTGTGTCCAGAAATATGTGAACTTTCAGTCGTCTACAGATTCCTGTTCGTTGGTATCCTCCAATCCAACAATGCGAATAGAATTTTCCCCCTGCTGTTACAGGTCGTTCATCTTATAATCTAGAGAAGCGTTGAATATCTCGGACTCACATGGGCTTCTAGCTTTTCCACCTTATCTCGTGAGACATCGTTGTCTTTTTCGAGGTCGAAAATTAGTCCTTCTAACTGTTCAACTAGCACACGGTTCTCCTCCCTAATATCCTCTCTTAATCGCTCTAGTTTTCTGTCCATCATCTTGTCCAAGTCCGATTTGGTCACAAGGGTAGCTACCATCTCAAAAAGGACATTTATCCTGTCCTTCTCTGCAGCGGGTTCATTAACAATGTCCAGAGGCCTCCCTTTGCTTCCCGTCCTCCCGCTACCCACACTGGTCCTAGATCCAGGCATGATTACTGATATAACAGTTCGAATCCACCAGTACGTACAGGTAACATTAGTAAATCCCGTGTAGGTAAGGTACAATGTATACACACACTCCTAGTGCGCGCGAACAATTGTCACTATTGATGGTCAGTCCATTGTTCTACGCGATTTTTTTTTCTTAAACATCGTTTTTCACAAACTTTCACAGAAAAAAGGTCATAAAAATATGGTTCATTGATGTTTCAAACTACTCCAAGCCAACAATTAGCATTCTTAGATACGGAGGAATAAGTAAACTTCGGTAAAATTACGGAGCCCAAACATACGGCGACTGACTAAGTCCAGGTGACTTGGTAGTTTGTTTTATCTCGTAGAAAAAATAAAAGAAGTAATGATAACACATGTTTTGTTGCTAGCTGTAGCATATCTCAACCTAGGTATACGTGTTTTTTTTCTTTATCTATCCTGGAAAGGGATACAGTAACGCTTTCCAACCACTTCCTATTACATCTTGTGCTTGTCGACTTTTGTTAAAAAAGATTTTTTCATGGATGCATTTACATCTTTCTATTACCATTTTTGTTTTGTTCTGCTTAAGCTGTTTGTTAGCATGATTTTGTGTCAAGTTGATGTTATGCTTCGAATCTCAGAAGAGAGTAGTTATACATTGAACGACATTCTGCTGGGATGCACCTTGCAAATCATTTAACTGATATCTGAAATATTATGAACGCCAGAGCCCTAGTTGTGCCTTTGTATATTGGGAAGTTTTTTGTCATTAATGCTAACATGGAAAATAATTAACAATTCCAAATTCACTGTTTGCAAGTCATTGTTGACTCTACTTCAGAAACTATATAATTGATTTCTTTAATTTCAACAGTAAAAGACACAGTCTTAATAATGTTTGACTGTTCATACCAACAAGTTGACACGGAAATAATGACATACATTGTGGCCATTTTCACTGAAAGACCAACAACGTAAAAGAGAATTATATTTGATAATGCAGTTTCATAACCGTCAATTGAATGTATGCTAATCTCGATGAAATAACAAATTTAGGATATTAAGGAGAAAAACGGTCGTCACTGAAAATATATAGGACGCATTGTCTTACATGGGACTGTCTGTTTGAGTGTTGGGTTTATCGCCTGGTGATCGGCCAGGGCCATTTTAGTAGTAGCTAGTGGCTACCTCACTAAACAACATACGCTAGGCACCTCATATGTGTCCCATGGCAATAAGGGTAAAGAGACATCACCAAGGACACAAACACAACAACACCAAATGATCCGTTTCTCTGCTTCCTGTGAAACAATAACCATCATGGATAGAGCGCGTCGAACAGCCCATCTCGGATCTTCACCTGATATTGAGAAGGCTACGCTATAGTCGATACCGGGAAATTTCGATCCCTAAAAATTGGTATTGATTGTTAACTCTAATATCATTTCCTCAGTACCCTGGTAAAAATCTTTGGTATGACATGTGACTCCTCCAAACTAGAGAAATAATAACGTGTTCTGCTCTATGCTAGTTTTCGTATCTCAACTTATTTCTATATACGAAGGATCAAAACAACATTGAGATATTTTAATAATAATTCTAATAATACTGAATTCTTTGCTATAGTGGTTTTTGTCACTCAAAATAATATTGAAGCTGTCATTGACATATTTTTTGAAGACTACGATGGGGATTAAATCCATTGGGCAGTGGATTGGCTTGAGTAACTTGCATCTTGATGGCTACACGTAAGTTATACGTTCATATTCAAAATAACATTATCGAGACAAGAATACTTTTGACCCCAATTGTTGATTTGTTAACTGTTCAGGGTACCTAATCACATAACTTTGAATTATTTTCTATCTCCATTTGTTTTTGTTTTTACTTTATAGGAAAAACGCAAACACAAAACTCAATGCACGCCATATTACGAATGACATGTAACATGCTGAATCAACGCCTCTATCTATTATCTTTTTGATTTTTAAAAAACGGCGCCTAGTTCATATTCATCTATCTAGGTTACAAAATTTAGACCTTTGGTCTTGAATGACAAAACTGCATCGAAGTTCAATTTATTTAAAAAAGTACTATCTATTCTTGTCTTTTGTGCAATCTCCTATCACATAGTAAATACCTATATTTGTTTATTTGTTTATATAGTAGGGAGACTTGTTGTTAGTGTTCCGTTTCTTACTTATCACATTTTTCAAAACGTACGTGATGGGATTTTACGAACCTTTATATGATTGTTAGTATATGAGAAGTGGTGTGCAAGAGTTTACTATTTTTTCAATTTTTTCATAAGTCAAAAAAGGTCACACTTGACTATATTGCCTTGGCCAAGAAGACGCATTCATGTACATTAAAATATAATTATAATCAAAGGTAACGTCTTCATTTTGCTTGAATAATGGGAAATCGAGCATTCCACTATTCGTTTCGGATATTTTCAAACAGATTTTGAATATACACTTTTCCTCTATTTTGTTATTTTCTTTTTTATATTTATACACCAGAATAAATATAACATTAAATGTAATGCAGTTGTACAAGTAAACCATAAGGAGATCTTCCGATTGGTTGAAAATTGCATGCTGTCTGATTTTAATGATAATCTTTAACAAGTAGTTGTCTGACACAACAAACACTACAAAACGATTGTCATACAAAGACGACTAACAAAGTGGAATTAAAATATTGTTAAATTTTCAGATGGTCAGATGGCACACCCGTTGAGTACACTCATTGGCTCCCGCGCCAATCAGGTGATAACATTCCATTTCAAAGATGTGTATCGAAAGTAAATAGTGGTATGTACAATATTGTGTACATTGAAATTGTAATTAAAAAGATGTCGCATACAGTGTATAGTGTTCTTTTTGTTATGTATAAATATATATTGACTGCTCAGAAAAACATTCCATTTACCATGCATACTAATCTTTTAACCTTTATCCACATTTTCTAGTCATTTTTAAGAATAAGTTTTTAAGGGGATATTCTATGCCTATGCCAAGTTACAAAGTATTTAGTGCTATGGATGCATTCAAAATGGCGATGTTTTAGCTAATCAATAAATATTTACAATGATACGTAATAGCTACGGTGTTTCCGACACAATTACTGCTTATGGTATAGAAGTTTTTAGGTAATATAAAATGTGATTGTGGTAGTTTGGAGTATTATGTTCGCGATTCGTAGTTAAATCAGAATCGAAATATGCTAGTAGATTGTATGAAGCAGATTTCATTAGTAAAGAGAAGCCAACGATATGTCAAATAAAATATACTAGCCGTACAAATTGTTACACGTTTTATATCAAATGTATTCGAATTATTGACCAGAACAATAAGGGTATCCTCTTCTCCTTGACCAGAAAAAAGAAAGAAAATAATGACGTATTAACTGAATTTTAATTCAAACTCTGTCGGTGAAACAAGGTAAAAAATGAACAAACTAAAAGTTTACATAGAAATCAAAACCTTCTGTTTATCATTTTTGTAATATGCCATAAGTTATTTAGTTTTTTTTAACACTGATATAAAACAAACACACAATACGTACTTCGGCCAAAATTAGTATTTTCCCTCTCTACCTGAATAACGGACATTTTGTTGAGAATTTCAAAATGAATTTAGTATCGTAACATCACGTTCTACATAATATCACTCAAGTTAAAGGGTTAAATATCAAATTATACTCATGTCTTACATGTAGAACATAACTTCACTACCATTACTTCAAAAAATGGAATAATAGGTACAAAGTCTACCGATTATCATTTACGTGCGAAAGCTTTAGGAAGCTACTAAAGGCTAGATTTCATCTTTATGTTCTATCAAAATGGTACATGAAAGAAAAACCGTATAAATTATGACACATGTTTTGTATAATTCATAACATCAAAAGTTTTTTTTCGCAGAGTAAACGCAAACCAGGTGACATAACAGAAAAACAATTTAAGATTTATTTGACGAAATTGTTCAGTTCTCATGTAAACTTCGCAGACCTAGACATCTATGATATACATCTATACATATGTGTGTGTTTTTTTTAAAGCAAGATATGGTTGTGCAGACGTCCTTTTTATTTTTTGAAATTACTTTTAAACAAGAAGAAAGCATCCTTTGTGAAGAAAATACATTCATTGAAATCCAAGTCAAATCATGAATATTATATCTCCCTAATTTATAAAGGAGGTAGAGACAACATTGAAAATATTGATATAACGTATTTTGATGCATTGTATTTCAATCAACTTATGATAGTGACCAGGCAGTCGTTATATTTGTCAGTATACTTCCTATGAATGAATTCATCATTAACATTACCCATTGTTATATGATATACGCTTTTTGTAAGTTAAAGACCTTTTTGCAGGGGCCTTTCATGAAGTATGAATATATATATATTGGTTTTGCAGGGTTTTGGGTCAGTGTTCATTGTAACGAGATGGTTACTGGATATATCTGTAAGAAGCCCAACAATACTGCTATTATAGCGACACCCCAACCATCACCTCAACCTCTCCCTTTGGGTGGATGTCCACATGATTTTATACCGTCACCATATGGTACGTGTGAACTATTGAAAAATCCAACCAGTGAACATTGCAGCACTTTTAAGTATTAACTGCTAATGAACTGTCTGAATCAGTTTTACATTTATCTATGTTAATTATGTCTTAATCTATTTGTCAGCACTTTCGATTTTCGTAGAATATCCCTAAAACTACAAGACTGACATTTCAGATATTTTGAAAGGACACGAATTTAACATATAATTATGTAAGAATATAGTTCTCGAATGCCGCAGCTCTGCTTATCAACGACTGGAGAATTAAAGCAAAATCAGTGACTAGATTGATATACTAGATTAGACTGTTTTCCGAAAACTCGAAGTACTCCTGCGAAGGAACCATCTCGTGTATCTATACTCTTCAATCAGCTGCATGACCGATACTAGTGAGGAAACCACGATAAATTACATACAATCAATCTTGATTATCCGAAATAGAAGTTTGTCTTTTATTACAATTTGTCTTAAACAAGGAATTAAATAATATATCAAGTTTCATTTTGCATATTTGCATGAGTGTTCCATTCTGTTACTGATTCTTTATATAAGAGTGCCACAAACGTTCGCTGCGGTGCTACCTGTGTACCACAGGGTGATAACGAGTTATGAATACATTCATCGACGTTATATATATAAATATATAAATTGTTAAACGAATGTTCGACGTAACCATGGTATACAGGATATATATTTATTTTGAACTGACCGGAGTAGAAGAACCACAACTCAGCAAAACCTTGACTGTGATCTGTGAAACGAAAGCATAGCAACACAGGCAAAAGTTCGTGATTCCTATCAAAAAATCACTGATTCAATTCAACTTCATACTCACATTCACATTCCGTCGTCCATGCCTTGTCTTACTCTGACACCGGAAATCATGCGATGTAATGTTATTAGCTAGCCTTTAATGACTTTTTGAAGAGGCAGTGTTCTGTTTCAATACAATACTTTTAGTGCAGCTAAAGTAACATATTGTAATATATTATCGTACTGCACGTATTTCAGATGACAAATGCTATTATATTTCAACTCCTACTGACGGCCAAGTCCAATATATTCATGCTGGAACGAAGTGTGAAAAAAAATATTCAGAAGCACAACTGACAAGCATCAACAGTGCAAGGGAACAAGGTAATACAATGTATGCTTCAAGTCACCGAAAGTACCGTTACGTAAAATACTTCAAATGTCCGTTGACATTTTCTCTATTGGTTTTGCTCCGACTAAATTTCAAGGGTATACGCAATAGCATGAGTTCTTAACGCAACATACATACTTCATGCCTCTCTCTGAAGTCTGTTACATTTTATCGCGGTTTGTCGTTAGCCGGGAAAAGTCTTAACTACGAGCATGTCATGTTATACGATATAAATGATATAACAGTCTTTTTCATAACAACAGATACGTGTTATTTTCTTCTTTGTATCGCTGTAAATTTCGTGTGTTGATTTACACTTTTGAGTTTAAATATCTTCAAGTTCGTGATAATAAACCAATTTTCTGTTTGTGCTTTTGTTTCAAAGCTTTCTTATTGGGTCTACTTGGGAAGAGGGAATTCCGTGGCATGACGTTTTATATTGGACTTAGCGATCATTTCAAAGCCTATTCATGGGAAGATAATTCTCAAGTTACTTTTACAAACTGGGATCAAGGCGAACCGAATGGTGAATATGTAGGTATATCTTATCGATGTGTATGTCTGATCTAGACGGAATAGGATAAACTTAATTTGAATCGAAAGAAATTTAGATCAATAATCTAAATATGATTGTTTACATATGAATGATTTGAATTACTTACAGAAATACTAGTTACTCACGATATGTACATATGAATGAGTTATATTTGCATTTTTGTTTAAAAAGAATATGACAAAGTATTCAAAATATCATATATCCAATTTTTTGCAGGTATTGATATTTAATATTATTGTCATATTATAATAATATTATGATATCACAAAGGTTCTAACGAGACTGAAGTAGAATATTGTTTAAAGCGTTGGATGTAGCAACATATGTTTTACTCGGCTGTATATTAAATACTGCTAATATATTAATACTACAAAGATAGTAGATATATACACGGTACATTGACCTTTTTCACAGGAAAGATGCGTTGAGATGTTAAATACTGGAAACAGAGCAGGGAAATGGAATGATGTGCCTTGTTGGAAAGAACTCGGTTTCATCTGCAAATCTAAGAAATGTGAGTAATACATTTTAAGGTAGAATCTTACCTGAAGTAGCCACAGAGAATCTTAAGAAAAAAACTCTCTCTTCTTTATGTATAGGATTCTCGTAAACGTTCATAATACTTGCTTATTGTTCCCATGTTGGATATAAGCACACGGCTTTAAGTGGTAAAAAAAGGTGATACTTTCCCGTGACGTGATATTCTCAACATATTGTTTTAAATGATTCCCTAGTAATTATTTCTTTTGTTTATATTTTGATTAACTTAGTATTATATGGAAGAGTAGGTACATGTATTTGCGAAAATGTATAGATTGTCTGAATACATACTTTTTTTCAGATTATAACCTCTTGTGGTATAAATGTAATTATGAGTTACAGAAAATAACGTGCTGAATTAATCAATCACTGAAAGACATTTTTCTCTTCATCAATTCGAGGAACAACATGTTATCTAAAAGCCATGCGTGACTACACTTATAATTAGAAGAAATATTTGGTCTGTCTGATTTGGTAATGCGTTTTAATCCAACTCATTATGGAGACTCTTTGCCAGTATCATCTTTATAAGCTGTGGAGTTCTATTTGTTTGGGTTTTTTTCAAAGCAATTTGTTTATAAATATTTTCGTAATAATTGCTTGTTTGTTGTTCCTATCTTTTTACATTATTATTGAATTTAAAATAAAACTTTAAGTTATTTGTTTCTACACTTTTGTCAGCAATGCATTTTCCTACAATCCCTCCTGTGGCAGACAAAGAGTGTCCCCATGGATACAAGTATTCTTTTGATAGCTGCTACAAGCTCGTTCAATCGGATATGACTTGGGATATGGCGCGAACCACGTGTCAAATAGACTCCGCTGACCTAGTTTCAGTGGGCACTGTTTATGAACAGGCTTTCATAGAAGTATTCACAAGCCAGCTTCAATCTGCTCCTTTCTGGATTGGTCTGAAGAAGAGCGAGGTAATCCATAGCATAGAGGTAGTAAAGACTGAATAGGCCTTTAGGCTAGTTCTGTACAAATGATGCAGAAGTGAACGCTGTCACAGTGCCAACCGTTTATAATCATATTTAAACAAATATCCAGTATATAATGTGTTTGTAACTCTGTACATTTATTCTATTTTATTATTTCGATGTAGTTTTTCTTATCTTTGTATTTCATTGTCATTCTTGTGATATTTTTTTTGCAAATATTATAAATACGGATACATCGGTTTCGGGTTCATCGGGTGAATTTAAGTAGGGCGTAAGGAACGAGATATACGTGAGCAAGCGGAGCGGTGGAATGGTTGTTTGAGCGTGTTGATGTTGAAATGGGGTACACCTTAATACCAAAATAAGGATTGCGGTAAGCCATCCCAAAATTCCATACATTGAGTGATATACCTGAAATACATGTATGTTGTGTTTTGCATTAATGCAAATTTTGAAAATTAATGTACATATATATAAAGTGCGCACCGATGAGAACAATTCATACCTGACAATATGACACGTTTTGCTTAGTTTTGGTTATGTAATTAGTGCAGTATGTTTGTATTTAGAACTAGGTATTGTCATGCAAACGGCTAATCTACACACACATATATATATATATGTGTGTGTGTGTGTGTGAACATAAAAAGTTCAACACGGCAAATGCAGTTGATTATCGCTAACGTTTGCAAGCCTATAGTGGCTATCTTCAGGCGATTACTTTTAGAAGACATGTTTGTTAAACTTCTTAAACCGGCACTAAATGGCAATATTTAGTGTCGCGACACCCAACAATTAATAACGTTATTATCTCCCCTAATGTCATTGATTATGTTACGTCATAATGCCGAAACCAAGACATTAAAAGTAATCGCCTGAAGATAGCCACTACAGGCTTGAAAACGTTAGCGATAATCAACTGCATTTGCCGTGTTGAACTTTTTATGTTCACATATTTAAACGATACACAATGCCTTTATCATATTGAACTATATATATATATATATGTGTGTGTGTGTGTGTGTGTGTGTGTGTGTGTGTGTGTGTGTGTGTGTGTAGGTGTGTGTGTGTGTGTGTGTGTGTGTGTGTGTGTGTGTGTGTGTGTGTGTGTGATATAACAGGACACAACAGTTAGATATAGTCATATTTATGTCGTTCCAACTCTAACCCATAATGGCTTGAGGACAGTGGTACAATAGATGTTCCATAGATGAGTCATGTTTGGACAAGAAAACTGTATATAAATGTAGTTCCTTTTTATGGGCAAGACGGTCATTTATACAGTCCTGTGTGGGCGAAGTAGTGAGTGAACGCAATCCTGTGTGGGCGAAGTAGTGAGTGAACGCAGTCCTGTGTGGGTGAAGTAGTGAGTGTCCTGTGTGGGCGAAGTAGTGAAACGCAGTCCTGTGTGGGCGAAGTAGTGAGTGAACGCAGTCCTGTGTGGGCGAAGTAGTGAGTGAACGCAGTCCTGTGTGGGCGAAGTAGTGAGTGAACGCAGTCCTGTGTGGGCGAAGTAGTGAGTGAACGCAGTCCTGTGTGGGCGAAATGTAGTGAGTGAACGCAGTCCTGTGTGGGCGAAGTAGTGAGTGAACGCAGTCCTGTGTGGGCGAAGTAGTGAGTGAACGCAGTCCTGTGTGGGCGAAGTAGTGAGTGAACGCAGTCCTGTGTGGACGAAGTAGTGTGTGAACGCAGTCCTGTGTGGGCGAAGTAGTGAGTGAACGCAGTCCTGTGTGGGCGAAGTAGTGAGTGAACGCAGTCCTGTGTGGGCGAAGTAGTGAGTGAACGCAGTCCTGTGTGGGCGAAGAAGTGAGTGAACGCAGTCCTGTGTTGGCGAAGTAGTGAGTGAACGCAGTCCTGTGTTGGCGAAATAGTGAGTGAACGCAGTATATATATATATGTATATCCTGTGTGTGTGTGTGTGTGTGTGTGTGTGTGTGTGTGGCGAAGTGTGTGTGTGTGTGTGTGTGTGTGTTGTGTGTGTGTGTGGGCGAAGTAGTGTGTGAACGCAGTCCTGTGTGGGCGAAGTAGTGAGTGAACGCAGTCCTGTGTTGGCGAAGTAGTGAGTGAACGCAGTCCTGTTTGGGCGAAGTAGTGAGTGAACGCAGTCCTGTGTGGGCGAAGTAGTGAGTGAACGCAGTCCTGTGTGGGCGAAGTAGTGAGTGAACGCAGTCCTGTGTTGGCGAAGTAGTGAGTGAACGCAGTCCTGTGTTGGCGAAGTAGTGAGTGAACGCAGTGAGTGAACGCAGTCCTGTGTGGGCGAAGTAGTGAGTGAACGCAGTCCTGTGTTGGCGAAGAAGTGAGTGAACGCAGTCCTGTATGGGCGAAGTAGTGAGTGAACGCAGTCCTGTGTGGGCGAAGTAGTGAGTGAACGCAGTCCTGTGTGGGCGAAGTAGTGAGTGAACGCAGTCCTGTGTGGGCGAAGTAGTGAGTGAACGCAGTCCTGTGTGGGCGAAGTAGTGAGTGAACGCAGTCCTGTGTGGGCGAAGTAGTGTGTGAACGCAGTCCTGTGTGGGCGAAGTAGTGAGTGAAAGCAGTCCTGTGTGGGCGAAGTAGTGAGTGAACGCAGTCCTGTGTGGGCGAAGTAGTGAGTGAACGCAGTCCTGTGTGGGCGAAGTAGTGAGTGAACGCAGTCCTGTGTGGCGAAGAAGTGAGTGAACGTGTGTGTGAGTGAACGCAGTCCTGTGTGGACGAAGTAGTGTGTGAACGCAGTCCTGTGTGGGCGAAGTAGTGAGTGAACGCAGTCCTGTGTGGGCGAAGTAGTGAGTGAACGCAGTCCTGTGTTGGCGAAGTAGTGAGTGAACGCAGTCCTGTGTTGGCGAAGTAGTGAGTGAACGCAGTCCTGTGTGGGCGAAGTAGTGTGTGAACGCAGTCCTGTGTGGGCGAAGTAGTGAGTGAACGCAGTCCTGTGTTGGCGAAGTAGTGAGTGAACGCAGTCCTGTGTGGGCGAAGTAGTGAGTGAACGCAGTCCTGTGTGGGCGATGTAGTGAGTGAATGCAGTCCTGTGTGGGCGAATTAGTTAGTGAACGCAGTCCTGTGTGGGCAGTTCTATGATTTATTATCTGTGGACAGATGATCTTTCGTTATAGATGTGATGGGTGTCCAATGTGGGCAAGCAGTTTCATAGATGATATTGGTAGCTTAAACTGTCCGTGTATGAGCAGATCACCATATTTCTGTATCGTGGAGTATTTTCACTGGAGCAGTCATCGTCAATTGGGAAAATGGGAAGAGAACATTCGTGCACATTTTAGTGTGATGGATGTGGTGTAAGTGACAACTGAGTGACTTAGTGGATATCAGGCTGCTATTTGTAGTGATGGGCAATTTACATAGGTGAATGTAAATAATAATATGGTAAGAGTGTGCTTGGTTATGGGAGTGGTATAGTTAGTGATGTGTATCTGGGAGATGTGTTAAGATATAGACCTATAGATATACAGGTATATATAATGTAACAAAGTCTTGTAGATATTGTATATTTGGTTTTTGCGCCATTCTTATATCAGCGATGCTTGCCATGCTCGTCCAGGTTACAAACAACCCATTGACATACAAGAAACAGTTGAAAGGACTGTGAAAAAGGACATATAAGCAAATAACATTTCTGTACAGATTCGTCCTTCTTGGACGTGTCAGTGATACTAAGCGCCTTTGCTATTGAAACCAATGAACGGATAAAGCAACTAATTCCATATGACGTAAACTAAAATGTATGATGAATTTGTTTTATCGTATACTTACGGCGTAGTTTCCAATGATCAATTTCAGATTTGATATTCAAGTCACTGTGCAATTTTGTTGAGGCAAATTCATTGGTTAAAAGGAAATCCATTCTCTGAAAATCTGGTGCACGTATTTTTTTTTATTACATTCAATATAGATACATTAGCCATGCAGTGTTACTATGTTTACTATTTAAACGAAGTAACTTCAGTTTCTAATAGTAGTACTATAAACCGAATTGAGTGTAACTTTTACCATTTAGGAATTTTATTTTCTTCTTATTCCTTGAAAACAAACACAATTATACTTTATTTTTTGATTTTTTTTCTGTGTAGGTGATAGTCTTCTATAATTCTTCAATTATAGTAGTATTTTGTAACGTTTCGATTAATTGCCTTGATGTGGTATCTTACAACTGTCAACTTTGTGCTAAGGTGAGTTATAATTTCTTTTCTTTTAAGGTATCTGAAGACATGGTTTGGGCGGACGGTTGGCCCTTTGATTTTACAAACTGGGCAGAAGGGCAGCCTAGCATTGTGACAGAGAAAAAATGTACAGTTTCCCAAAACAACCGGTGGAAGACATCAGCATGTGATTTAAAAATGTCATTTCTATGCGAAAAGAGTTTAGGTTTGTATGCATTTTTATCTATAGAAATAATCAAATAATCAAAAGGGACGTCCGGGCGTACCAGTAGAAGTTAAGCTACATTGTCCAACTGTATAATATAAGTTCACATGTCTTTCTTTTGATATGATAGAAACTACATCGTTTGCATTCGCATCAATTCGACGTCGGCTTTCAGTTATACAAAAATGTCAAACTTGTTTTTGTTTTTGTAGTAGTTGTAGTAGTATTAGCAGCAGTAGCAGTCATTGTAATTGTTTAAACACATGTTCTCACATTTTGTTGTTAAATGTTCATGACTGCTGTTCAGAAAAGTTGGATTTTATCACTATCTTACTCACAACATATGTAGTGAATATAACATCTTTGTCAATTTGACGTCAAGTGATGTTTTATTGTCACATCAACATTTCCAAATCTGCTACAGTCGTACCGCAAACTATTCCACCGCCTGGAATTTGCCCTGTTGGAATGCATTTACATATGAATATGTGCTACTTCGTGGAACTGGATAATCCCTTGTCATGGACTTTGGCCAGAGACACCTGCGTTGAGAAAGAAATGAATCTTGTAAGCATTCGTGACATAGATGAGTTGAATTACGTGAAGGGTTTGATACATGACCTTTCTACAGAGCCCACTCCAAACGTATGGATAGGATACAATAGGCTGGAAGGCAACAAAATACGACCAGATCTTTATTGTAAGTATTCAGAGATAACTCCTCGAGTATTTATGTGATACTATCCTTACATGTAAAAGTAACTTTATAATGCATTAAACGTATATCAAAGACGAACAAATAAATAAATTCATTTAAAAAGGAATTACATAGACACCTGAAAAATACCAGCAGAAAAACGAACAGGTGGTCCGTAATAGTTAGCGTCTTCAGCTTCATCTGTGACATTCACCATGTTGATCAAGGTCGGTCTTAGCCTTTTTACCACTTAATTGGCTTGTACATTAAAATTTAAACAAAATATGTAAACACTAATATAAAACCTTTTTAATAAATTAAACACGCACGTTTTGACAAGTGGCCCTTAATTTTAAAAGTCATTTCTATCAGCTGTACTGTCAAATATTTTTTTCATTAATGTTCCATTCATACCTGATATCATGGACAATTAACGTTCACGATATCCACCACAAGTAAAATTTCAAATCAGTTTTTTAAACGTGACGTATTTCGTAAATCTATATATCCTTTAAATAAACGAAATTCTGAAATCCTCAATTCCTAAATTCATAGTATAGTCTTTCTACATGATAGCATACAGCTACTTTACATTTGAACACGTGTCCGATTCTTTAATGAAACCGATTTTACAGATTACGGATCTGACTATGAAGGTGCGTCTGATTACTTGGAATCGCCTGCACAAATCTTTCAGTGGGTGGACGGAACGCCAACTGGATTTGAGAACTGGAATGAAAATGAACCTTCATCAGCTTGGAACAACGAAGACGAACAATGCGTGGAAATGTACAGTAGCGGGAGGTGGAACGACCTCAACTGTAAGGCGTACAACAGACCTTATATATGTAAAGGACAGTCACGTAAGTTTTATCTTTGACGTGACATGAAATATCACCAGGTCAATAGGTTTAAGAATGACATTGCTCTTTGTTTTTTATAAACATCGGCAAAGTCGGAACGTTCTATTTTCCATTTACGAGTTATGTGTCTACAGTCTCCATCTTTAAAAGAATAAAGAATACTTGAACAAGTGAACGGTATCATAATTCAAACTTAAATTGAAAATTTCAAAAACATGATTTGAAGTATAATTTACACGGAGACTTCAGTAAAGAGAAAATAAACTGAGTCAAGGAAAAAGACTTTCTAAATATCGGGATATTGAAAAAAAAACAAGGTATTTGTTCATGTGCAAGATATTTTCTGTCTGAATATTACCTAAAAAGGTCATTTTCCGAGTGCAGAGACATGGTTTACAATCCTGTATCAAACATGTTAGTATGTGATGGACATACATATATGCTTGTAAACTTATTGCAACAATATGGTTACATCAAACAATGCTCCAAATATAGGTAAGTATGTCATGGAGGTATGAAATAATTATATAATGCTCCAAAGGTAGGTAAGTATGTCATAGAGGTATGAAATAATTATATAATGCTCCTAAGGTAGGAAGGTATGTCCTGGAGGTATAAAATAATTATATAATGCTCCTAAGGTAGGAAGGTATGTCATGGAGGTATGAAATAATTATATAATGCTCCAAATATAGGTAAGTATGTCATGGAGGTATGAAATAATTATATAATGATCCCAAGGTAGGTAGGTATGTCCTGGAGGTATAAAATAACTATATAATGATCCCAAGGTAGGTAGGTATGCCCTGGAGGTATAAAATGATTATATAATGATCCCAAGGTAGGAAGGTATGTCCTGAAGTTATGAAATAATTATATAATGATCCCAAGGTAGGTAGGTATGTCCTGGAGGTATAAAATAATTATATAATGATCCCAAGGTAGGTAGGTATGTCCTGGAGGTATAAAATGATTATATAATGATCCCAAGGTAGGAAGGTATGTCCTGAAGTTATGAAATAATTATATAATGATCCCAAGGTAGGTAGGTATGTCCTGGAGGTATAAAATAATTATATAATGATCCCAAGGTAGGAAGGTATGTCATGGAGGTATAAAATAATTATATAATGCTCCTAAGGTAGGTAGGTATGTCCTGGAGGTATAAAATAATTATATAATGATCCCAAGGTAGGTAGGTATGTCCTGGAGGTATAAAATAATTATATAATGATCCCAAGGTAGGTAGGTATGTCCTGAAGTTATGAAATAATTATGTAATGCTCCTAAGGTAGGTAGGTATGTCCTGCAGGTATAAAATTATTATATACACTCCAAAGGTAGGTAGGTATGTCGCGGAGGTATAAAATAATTATATAATGCTCCCGAGGTAGGTATGTCCTGGAGGTATATAATAATTATATATTGCTCCAAAGATAGGTAAGTAAGTTCTGAAGGTATAAAATAGTTATATATATAATAATAATTATCTCATCGTACTAGTCACTTCTTACTTTTAACATTCTTGTAATTAGAAACAGAGGTGACCACATTTACAACATCGAAAACAGAGGAAACAACTGCAACGGAACCGGAAACGACGACCACCGTAATTGTGTCGAAGGACCAATCATCGACAAGCATGACAGAAGAGGTTTCTACCTCTTCCGGAAAAAATCCTTTGCATTACTTTGCAAGGAGAACACAGCCGTTGCCGCATAAAGGTATTTTATTTTTTACTTTAACCGTGGGTCTTAATAAACAATTAAACGATGAGGAGGACGTGTTGCACAAAATAATTTCCAGTTTTTGTTTTTTGTTTTTTTTTTTGAAAGGAGAAATTTCTTTCAAGCAATCAAAATACTATAGGGCAAGATTTCGTAAAGTTGGTGATGAAATACGTATAATATATGGTAAGACAAAACCGACTGAATTTTCATTTTTTTTATTTCGTTAAAATCGGTATAACTGTTTCTTCATTTAAAATCAATACAGAAAGGGAAAAGAAAACATGTTTTCGATAGCAATCTTCTTAAATAGATGGGACTGAAACAAAGGAAATGGATCAAACACCCCGAATTACCACTGGATACAGATTTACTATGAAATGTTTTACGTATTATCATTTAAAGGAAGTAATTGGGTATACTGATATCTGTGATATTTCATTAGTAAAAAAACTTGGAAACTAAAAAGTCTCATTATCAGCAAAAACAATAATAATGAAATACGGGATTACAGAATACTATCTTTACTCGAGTGTTATTTGGGTTCTCACAGAAATAACATCGGGTAAGTCGTTTACCAATTCATTTAGTTACTACAAACTTGTAACATCGACGGTGATACATTTATGTAGCCTGAATATAGCATTATTTTATTCTTGACTATATGTAAAATTGTGTTTGTGCTACTTGTATTTTGTTCTTTGACCTACCTTTTTCCCTTCCTATTTCTTGATGCGTTGATTGATCACAATTCCACCTGACGCTCAGTAACTTTAAATATGATAACGCCGCTTCGGCCATTTATATTGCATTATGAATATTGATAGATACTACACAGCAATTCATTCTATTACACATTTTCTTGACTTTCAGAAGTCGTCACTGGCTTGTCCACTGGAGAAATAATGGGTATTGTTATTGGAATACTAGGATTGATTTTAATGGGAGGGGCTGTATACTTTACTGCCCGACAACTGATGAGTGCTACCTATAATACAAAGGGATGGGCTTTTACTAACGCCCTTTATCGGAGATCTGCAGATACTGTGTCTATGTCGGAGGACAACAGTCTTTCAGGGTCAACCATCAAGCTATGTACACTGAAGAAGTGATAATATATATAAATGAACACAACGTGTTTGTCGTCTTGATGTAGTCTTGTTTAACATCTTTTTTTTATGAAATATAGTGCTAGCCCATGACATATATTTACTATTAAATATACAGTAGACCTTCATATCACGATTCCTGAATGTATATCACTTCGAAATTTGTTATCGCTACAATGCAAAGAAATTACAAAATTAAAAAAGTTCCTTTCGGCACATCATAACTACTATTGAACTATACATAACATAAAAATGATAATAGCTTACTTTGTATTATAAGGTTTTTTTTCTTCGTGTGTCTTTTGTTTGTCTTTTTTTCTTGTATGGTATGAACGTCTTTGTTGACATCTATACGATATCAACGATTCCGGAAATTTACAATTAGGTTTTATTCTATAGTAGTATGCCTGGTAGGTTAGATACTGTAACACAGTGTTTCACTTAATCAAAAGACGCTGATTTTACACTACATAACTATCCTGTTTTTAATATACCATGCGTAAATGTATGTTACTCTAGACTTAATTTGATAGATAACAATATCTGTATATATTTCTTCATTTAAGGGATGTGAGATAATATTAACAAATCTATTTACATGTCAAGAAATATGCTGTAAGTGTGTTCGTATGTGTACGGGAATGTATTTGCAATATGTTGTGCAAGATGTGCATTTGCATGCATGGGTTTGCAAATGGAAACGTTTGAAAATAAAATTGACAAGTTTAGAATTAAAACAATATACAAACATTGTTTATAGTTGTTTATTATTTTGTAAATAAAAACATAATTGTTTAATGATACGATAGACAAACCAACATAATCAATATTGTATTATCATAAAGTCCCACATACCGGTATTTGTCATTTCGTAATCAGTACAACCATGTTCGTTTTGTAATTAAGCCGTACCAGAGAAGTCAGCAATCCCTCCGGGTATATGCCCTCACATGAAAGCATCTATTTCCCTTAAGTGGTAATTTGCCATGAAATGTCAAATACGTCATGTAAGTAAGTGGAGGGAGGGGGGGGAACTATCACTTAACTTGGAGTTAATAAATACTGATAACTTGCAGGTAAGAATGGTATTTTTTCTGTACGATGCATATCAACGCTGTCAAATTTAGTATTTCATCAGATATGTTCGCGGAGTGCTTACCGTCCGTAATCTACATGTTATCGTAACATGAATTGTTTCAATATGATATAAAATTCTTACATAAAAACAGGTAACTTGTCTATCCACAAAATTCATAGCAAATACACACATTCGTAAAGCTCCAACTGAAAAAGAATTTAACAATGAAGCTATTCATAATCAAAAGCGCACGACAGAGTTATCGTTCTTGAGTATGTCACGTGATCATGAAAATGGGCAATAAATTGGGCAGGATGGCATCCCCACCTGCAGAGAAAAAGAGAAAGCGGCGCATAGTTAACAACGGCGAAGTCGTAAATTCGTACGTGTAAGTAAATGTATGTAACTTTGGTCGTGATCGCGGACAAGTCTGTTGTGGAGATAGTATATAACATCCAAATAAAGTCTTATTTTGACTCGCATAAACTTCAGCCGGTGTCTAGTGAAATACAGGCCCAGTTGTTAGATATTTTAATTCATGCAGTTTACAATTTGGTTTTTCCTTCATACCACGATGAAAATAATATATATATATATATATATATATATATATTCCTATCAAAGCTTCATTGAATGAGTCAATTATGAAATTATTAAATTCGTGGGTAAGCTTAATTTCTAATAAACATGTTACTGTAGCCTAGGAATATATATCCTCTCACCTGAGAGAATGCGTTGAACTCCAACACATCCTTTCAGTAAAGAAGATTTTTTGTGTCTAAGCTCGGACATGTTTGTGTACAGGTAAGTCAAAACTATAATAACCAGGCAAAATGGCATGTTCATAATTATCATCGAAGTCATAATGTTATAATCAACATTTGTAAACAAAAAATTCAATATACGTTGTCTGTTTTGTCAATAATTCAATTAACCATGAACTACACAGTATAATCCTATGGGCAGTCACAACCAGATCATGCACAGGTGTGTGAATCTATATTTAGAACTCACTCACCTATGTAAATCTAACAAAAGGGCTCCTTTGTTAAGTAAAAGATTGAATAGGGGTAATGTTCATCACTTTGGCAAAAACTAGGCAAAACAATTTAAAACTTTTTGTTTGTAAATGTAGCTGATGGTGTCAGTATATCAGCTGATCAATCCATGAATGAAAATATGCCATTTAATATGGTCAGTTTTTAAAAGCAGTGTACAACTTTCTTTTACACAAATGTGTCTGAATTCTTACACAAATGTGTCAGGGGGTGTGATATCACTTCAGGAAGTGTAATATCACTTCAGGGGGTGTGATATCATTTCAGGGGGTGTGATATCACTTCAGGGGGCGTGATATCCCTTCAGGGGGCGTAATATCATTACTAGGGTTGTAATATCACTTCAGGGGGTGTGATATCACTTCAGGAGGTGTGATATCACTTTTGGGTGTGTGATATCTCTTCAGGAGGTGTGATATAACTTCAGTGGATGTGATATCACTACAGCGGGTGTAATATCACTTCAGAGGTTGTAATATCTCTTCAAAATGTGTGATATCAGTTCAGGGGTTTGATATCACTACAGGGTTTGTAATATCTTTTCAGGAGGTGTGATATCACTTCCAGGATTGTAATATCACTTCAGGGGTGAGACAGAGAATTGGGAATATAACTTCTCATTTTTTCGTCTTTTCGCCCCGAAAGTACGATAATGAACAAATCTTAAATATTCATACGTGAAAAGACAAAATAAATGCAAGCTGATTAACAACCTCAATTTTCGTTTTTGAAAATCTCGTTTCTTCGCTTTTCTAAATCGTAGAACCACCATGTCCCTTTTATACCCGAGCTAAACTATGATAGAACGACAATGTCCTTCCTTGGCCCGCAGTGCATCCTGACAGGGTTACTACGTCTCTCCTGTACCTAAACTACCTCCAGGCCAACTTATACCAGAACTACGGTAGAGTCTCTAGATTACTTCTGCTCCCTTATATGTGCTCTAGCAGGGCCATCATTTCCCTAGCGACCAGACCTGCAGTAAAATGGAACAAAACATCTCCTTTTTTCTATCTGAACTGCACAAAGATATTCACCGTCCCAACAGTGAAGGAGTTGCACTAAGGTAAATGCACAGTTTCCATTCGGTACCTCAGTTGCTTCATGATATTACCGCCATTGCTCATCTCATACTAAATTGCGTCCATGTAAAGACTGTTTCACTAAATTTGCAATTTCACTTTTCCGCATGTTAAAATTCATTCTTCTTCTGGAACTTGTAAAGTGTTAACTTCATACTAATTATAAATGAGGCACCTACATGTATATATATATCAGTGTATCAGTAATAGAGTCTGGCCATGTGTATGTATCTTTTCTGAATAAAGGGAGGCAAACCGTGAGAGCATTTACTTCAACAAATCACTCAGTGAACATACAAAATATGGCCATAGTCAGTTCAAACTTATAACAATATTCACTCAATTTCACAATCCCTTTTTAGATATTTCATGACATGTCATTGTTTCCAAAATATTATGTTGCAATATCAAGCTTGAACACAGTTTGGAAAGAAATATCGAATATACAGACCAGTGCAGGTCAAGCTCAGTAGCAGCGTTTCCCTATCATTTCAGTGTAACTACGATACATGTAGCGTCTGCTTACCATCACCGTAATACATACATGGATACTATCGTAACAGTTATAAAAAGTTCGATCGAAAATTTAACTCAGCATAATCGTGAATATCCATTTTAACACCATGTATTTGTCCTATTTATGATTTACTCGTATCTAATATCAAAACGCCAAAATTTATCTTATTTTGGATTAAACAGTTTATCGCATTTTCTGGTGTAAAACGGTCGACGACAAAAAATAACTGTAACCTATATACTTGTCGGTTAGATTTTGTCATAACTAGGTTATTGGTTTTTTTCCCTTTTCTTATAGGTTGCTACAATCCATTGCACATCTGGGGTGGTCGGGTGACACAGAAACTCGGTTTCTTCCCATATTAAACCCCTCGCGCGCTTCCATCCGAGCCAACAAGCGTAATTTATATGTGTTGGAAAAACTTGCTTCGCAATTGTTGTAAAATAAATAAAATACAAATGCATATTACTATCCTCTTTCATGTGTAATCATGATAACATGACGATGAAAGGGGTTGTGTGCAGTGGACTGTGGTAACAGCCTGTAAGAAAAAGGGGAGATAATCCATAAATTAATTATTAAATCGATACTACAGATGAAAGGGTCATTTTTGGTTATGATATCATACATGTGACTCACACAAATAACTGTACAAACAATCGATTTGCGCTAATTTCTCACAGTTGACAGCATTATGTTAGACTTCCGTGTCACGAGAATTAAAAAAAGCCTTAAATATTTTCTGGAAAATTATGTACAATGTATACGTGTTATCCCCAGCAGATATATTGCGTATTTTCTTGATCACGAACTAGCACTTTCAAATAAACCGTTCCTTGAAAGATACACACTGCACTGGTTTTAGTAACATGTATCTTAACACTGGCCACTCATTGTGAGAATGTACATCTTATTGTTGTTTTCCCGACTTACTCCAGAACAGATTCCCCCTTGTATCCAGTAATTTACTCCTTCTCTTGTAGTTGTGTATGAGGAATCCAATAAACCAAGATTTATATTTCCAAATTTCCTGATCATCTCAGATAATTTTGTGTTGAAATATCAATAAAGCTATTTTGTTGTTTGCTGACTTTTTAAGTAGAAAGTCCACAATTAATCTTGATATGAAAACATCCTTGCGTCTCTTATAATACTGAACAAAGATTTCCCTGGTAGCGCGAGATACAGCCACAAGTTCATTACACTAAAAACAAAGAAAAGTTAGGGTATAGGGGTTGCTAACTTGAGCCCCCTTCCCCTTTATCTTTTGTTTGTTGGAGCTGATGAGAAATATGCAGTAAGTCAGTTATCGCATGTTTTCACGTCTCTCGGAACTTTTTACACCTAGCTGTTGCAATAAATCCCTTGATCTTTACCATGCTCTGACAAAAATTTGTTTATCTGAAACCCGTATTTGATATTTAATCACAGGTAAAAGCCACTCAACCGTTGATGAAATTTGTACGGTATGGATATAGCGACCTGGTATGTAATCCCAGCTACAGCATTGTACAGAAAGGTCGTTACATGATATTCAAGTTACAGTGAAATGCTCGGATGTTTTAAATCCCGATTGACGACAAATCTTAATGCATGCTGTACACCTTCCACAATGCAAAAGTACGAGTAATAAATTACCTACTACCACAGTCCACTACACGCCTAATCCCCTTTCATATGTTATCAGGATTACATGACCGTGAGAGGCGCTGAAGGCATTGATAACACAACTGTAAGAAAGGGGGAGATAATCACTCAGCACTAATTAAATCATTAATACAGATATAGATGATACTTTTTACTACAAACAGCTGTTGTGCCTAATTCTAGAATTATGTTTCTTCCATTTTTCCTTATGCAACAACTGACACATTCTTTATCATGCCTTGAAAAAATACACTAAAGTGAATACTAGAATATCTGAAAGAGTGAAAAAAACCTAATTAATGAAAATGGTTCTAGTATTCTACACATGAAATAATTTCCCTCGCTTACAACAAACTCTAATTCCCCCACTTTTGTCTTATTCCACATTTGATTATTTCCCCCTTTTATCAAAAATATTAGATATTTTGTTTCTCTGACACCAGAGCTTCAGTTCTCCAATTATAAATCCAGACATTATTTCAAATATTTTCCTCGTTCTCCTGGGATATTCTGTGTTGAAATATCCATGATATTCATATTTAGCTGATTTCAAAGCAAATAATAATAATAATAATAATAATAACACAAATCCCCTCCGTAAGAAAAGGAAAATAATATCTTAAGTCCATTATAATGGCTATTGACAGACTGATATCAACACTGATCCAAAAGTTTGTGGTACCGAGAAATACTTGTATAAGTACAAGGAAAATATACTTAAACAATGAAAAGATAGGTTATATGGTTGTCAAGGTGAGTTAATCACTCCCTATTATATTTTTGGAGAACAACTGCGTCAAATAATGGTTGATTTCTCGCCACCCTGGACATATTACACCCTCGCTGACTTACTTTGTCCACCTCACCTCAAAAAAACAAAAAATGGGACTGAAAAAACCTAGTTAGCTCAATAACCTAACTCTTCATTGTTTTTCTGTATAATTTGTCTCTATTTGTATGCACATGTATTTCTCTATACCAGAGAACTCTTGGCGCAATATGGAAAACATTATTCATTAAACTGAATGCAAGGACTACATTTGTACTTCCATAGGGAGCGGATTAATGGATTTTTCACTTTAACTTAGCAAAATATATGAGTTGGTTGTATATTATAGAGACTATTCCGAAATAATCCGGAAAAAGCAAAGTTGAAGAAGAAACACAATATTGGATGCAAGTGGAAAATTTGTTTGGAACTAAAGACAAGAGAGAAAACAACAGTAAGATGTTCATCTTGAGCGAAATAGTTCAAGATGCGGGATATTAAAACCAGAGATGTGCGTTTTGTATATACGCCACTAAAACTATTTTCATACATGAAACATTTTTAGTTATTCAAGTATTTACAGTAAGGACATAGCCACTGGAGAATTTATACTTTCCTAGAAAAGAGCCGAAGGATGCTTGGTATTTACGGGATGGACGGAGTTTTAAAGTTATACTGACAACTGTGAGAAATATGTGAAAATAACGCCATGATAATGGCAGAAGATCCTTACTACGCCGGGATGCCTTGTCTTATTCTCTTTATACGTTTTCAGGAAATCTTTCTTTCATTCTTTTTTTTTTTTTGCCCAAGTTTTATTGACTTTTTGTTTGGATTATGATCATGTTGACAAGTTGGTATTTTTGTTGGTTTCTCATTGGTATGACTACATAAATATGTTGTATAGTTTTACGTTCACTTCCTCTGTATTATCCAATTTCCACTGCACACAGTCCCTTTTCTTGAATATTCAATCACGATTACCAATGAAAGAGTATTTCGTGTGCAATCGTCCTAGGTAGCAAGAGATTTATCAATCACACTTTTCCATGAAGTGAAATCGTATCTTCAGTTTACAAACTGTGGATTTCGTATCAAGAAACAAGCATAGAAACTATGTTTGTGTCTCCGTTTGAACATGAATTTCTTCCCATCATTTCCATGTATAAAAAAACTACAGATGAAGATAATATTATCTCAATGTGCACTGTCTACTGCCTGCTATATACGTATATTACTAATTCTTACTGTTCACGGCCTGCTGTGTACTGACCTCTACCCTGTGTTGTAGGTATAAGTACCTAAAACATTATATGTTTTTTTGATAAAGGTTGGCAGTCAGAGCAAAAAGTTTTAAAACGCTTACAAACTGCCAGTATATAGTGTATATTGTGTCCTTTCGTCATTATGCCGTTATGGCTAACAAATTGTACTGGGTCTCCCCATTTGGTAACCACAGGTATGACATTTTTCTTCTCAAGAAAAAATAGATTGGAACTTTAAAAAACGGAAGGTATTAGTTACCCTTTGGTTAATAGTTTATTTTCTTTACCGATTCATTGTGAAGACATGCTACTAAAAATCCATTCATTATAACTATAACATTGTTTAAACGTTCGTGTATATTTCATTCTTTTTCTGAGCTAATAGAGGGAAGAATGTCGTTTCCTTCATCACTCTCTAAAGCCAAGACATTCGACTCAATTATTAAGATGACTATATGGTTACACATCTAAAAACATACGGAACAGCATAAATTATCATAAGACTTATCATTATCATCTTTGATAATAAGCAAATGCTTATTTTCAGGATGGGCGTACTTAAGGTCGGCTTGTTAAATTTATATAAAAGGTAGGCACAATACTTCAAAATCAACATACAGTGTGACTTATTCAGGATGTATTTATAAAAAAAATCGTTCGAAACTTTGTTTTTCATAAAGAAAAAAAGTAATCTGTGGAACGACCACTGTTATATTCAAGGGTATGAGCAGTGTGTATGGTGCCAGTTGTATCAATAACACTTGAAATGAGCTGAACAAAATATCACAAATGGGGTATATGAAAGCAAAAGGAAATTCCGGTAGTGTTTGTATTGCCTGATTAAAAGTCATTAAAACGAAATTTTACGCTTTGCTAATCATCCATTGACACCGCAATGCCTGTTTTTTTTTTCAGGTCACGTCTAAGGTTATATTACTGTTTGGTCGTGTTAATATCTAATTTGTAATGTAGCGTTCGGAATGTGAACATCCATAGTAATGAGGTAACGTTTTACGCATAATGAATTCGGTATATGTCCTTTTATCATAATACGTTTCAGTTAGGAAAGAAATGTTGTTTACTAGTACGTAAAAGGTTTCAATGACAAACGGCGGGCTGATAAACAACATCTAGACGATCAATTACTTCACTAGAGTTAAAACTATACGATACATTAAATGCATTTTCTTGCCATACATGTGACCTTGTATCAAAGGATGTGTTTTGTTCCATTGAAATAATTGTAAAACAATCTGTGACATTGTTATTATTCAGGTCATGTTCTTCATGTCACTGAAAGTAACACAACCTGCTTATTTGGAGTCGTTTGTGATACTTCTGAGTATAAAGTCTTTCTGGATAACAACTGCGGTTTAGTCTAGTAAGTATGGAGCACTGTGAAGAGAATGGCATGTCCCCAACCAACACTGAGGATATTAGGATCGATTTGCTGCAAAGTCCACACAAGAAACCAATAAAAGAGCCTCCTGAGCGGATCTTCTGGACAAGGAAAAGCGAGTACCTCTTATCCCTTATAGGGTACACTATTGGATTAAGTAGCATGTGGAGGTTTCCATATTTGTGTATGAAAAATGGCGGAGGTAAGTACTATGATATCTCAATTTTGTGATATTAGCGACCAGTGTCATTGTCAGATGTAACATTCGTTTGATCCATTTTTATTTTGTTTTGGCATCTTTTATAATCACTTGATATTTTCTAAAAAGGCGAATATCCTAAGACTGACTTATAGATCCAACGTCGCTAAACATATTCCTGTTTCTGTTTGCCTTTTAATTTTTACGTTATCATCCAGGACTCAGCGAATGCGATATTCCAGAGTTACGAGATATCAGATTGTTGGTTCGAGATACCAGCACTTCGATGCAAGCTTTCACGAAAATTAAACTACTAGACCTGTTTGAAAACAGGCTTTGTATTTGTTCTATACTGATAATCATGATCACAAAACATCTACTGAGATGGCAGAAACATATATCTGTATAAAACATTAAACCTGTTCATATTAACATTCTAACAAATATGATAACAGGTTTTTAAATATATATTTGTTTTCCAAATGAAGTTGCATTTGTAAAAGTAAAATGCCAATTAAAAATGATATCACCCTAATTCTTCTTGCAATGGATTTACAACAAATATTTTTTTTCTCTAGATTTTATTCCAATGTATGTAAATGTAAATTATGGTATTAAGAGTCCAATAGCTCGCATTTCTTTCGTTTACAGGAGTGACTATGTACCAAAAGCTTCGTGTACACATCGTGCATAAATCTTGCGCACACAGTTACTATACAGTATCGTGCACACAACTGTGAGATAGGATTGCACATTTTGTTAAAAAAATGGTTTGCTAATATTACGGATTGAAATTTAAACGGAAAACTCGTGTAGTTATGAATAAATAGCACACACAGGAACATTAAAATTTACCGGTGATTATAATGTTATCATATCATTTTCAATTCGAAAGTTTTCGAAACATCTTTGGACCCTGTTTTTATTAATCTTATAAAACACAGTTTCATACCTCAGACAGTGGTGAGTGGTATGGCTCGGGCAACAAACTCTACCTGTCCATGTTGCCCGTTTAACAAACGTAACAGTTAAGATTGCCTAAGTAGATATGTTTTGTTTACAAAATAATCGGAAAAAATGGAGAAATACTGGAATGATGAAAAAAATCTTTTCTGACGGTATCATATTTTAGGTGTTTCATTGTAAAAAGAGACGTCAATGTGTATAGATTACGAGTCCCTGTACACTCAAGCTAGTCAAGTTTGTCTGTTGTATACAAAACACATTAAATTACAAGTGTGTTTAGCTATTTAGTCTGTATCTGATATATCTACACGTGTCTAACCTATGCATTGATAGCTTAGTGAGGAGATATACTTAGTTGTACATTTACATATTTAGAGATTCTAACGCATACTTATCTATAAGTTATTTCTGAATCTATATCAACCGCGATAGAATCGTGCGCACATCGTACAGACATCGTGGGTTCATCGTGTAAGGCTGTGCTTTCCCACAAATGTATCTATATTTTCTCATTTTGATTATTCATCGTTCCAAAATTGGTTTATGATGAATAATATGTTACCAATAAATTAACCATAATGTCGCTGTTTCACTAGACGGAGAATATTTGCAATCCATGAAAAAAGACACGTGCATAATTATTCTGTTTTACAGGGGCCTTCCTGATACCTTTCACAATTTTCATGATACTATGCGGTTTTCCATTATATTATCTGGAGTTGGCGTTGGGTCAATTTTCGGGGAAAAGTCCAATGGTTGTGTGGAATATTTGCCCACTATTCAAAGGTAAGTATTATATATGGTGTTTAGGTCACGATTTTATTCTTTGTAAAATTCTACTGATAACTGCTACACTATGTAGATACGTAGAAACATGCGAGGACAACGAAACACAATATAATATCGTTCTATATAAGTATAACTTGATTATCTGATATCTATTTTTCTACAACATTTCATAAGAAGGAAAGGCAATAAGTAACAAACCAAGATAAAGTGATGTAACTTGTTCTATTCTCAAACAGTGAGAATGTACATTGTAAATTGCTCTTCTGTACGGCGTTTTGAGTGCTTTGTTAATGAATTGTATCAGACAGTTAAATAATTACACACATATGCATGTTAGAAAATGTTACGCTCGTTAAAGTTTTTTTTTTACATACGTTTATCCATTAGATGTTGATATCTTTCGTAGTTATCGTGATATTCGTAGCACAACATAAAATCCTTTCGTTGGCAAGATGCTATATCATTATCTGAAAATAAGAATTTAACGTTTGGTAAACTAAATTATTCTCGCTTAACTCTTTCCGCTCCGCATGTTCCGTCCGGTTTCCGTACCGGATGTATTGTTTAGTCTCGCCCCCGGCAACATTCGGAATACCTCCCCTCGATTATCGCAAGCTCGGGTGAATGACGTGTATGAATATTTATCAAATCGGTTAATTTCTCCGCCGGAATCGAACGCATTACGTAGTGTTTAAAATTGACGTCTCCTTTTTAATTTTTGTATCGAATTAATGAATTCCCAAAACAACTGAGATTTATGTATGTATATATCAAACCATGTCATATTGACTAACAGATAATTACACTATGCAGAGTAATAGTGGTATACACAGATCGACATTATCCCCGCGTTATCAGTACACATGGTACAGTACAACATCAACGTGTTTTCTAATTACCTGAAAAATAGAGCATGTTCTTAGATTTAATCATTACATCTGTGGCACGGACATTGTCTGTGTTGTTTGGAAATCATTCAAAATAAATTCAGAACAATTAAAAGCATTTATAAGCTGTTTGATCATATCTCGTCGTCATTAGCTCAATGTTTTTTAAAGATCTATTGCAATTATTAGTTTGTCAGTCTCGGACATCTAAGCTATAGTATATATTAGTATATTTGAAGCTAAGAAAAATAAATAAAGATTCATTCAAAACGACACAAAATAACAGAGAACAAACACATAAGTCAAAGATTACTTACTTTCTGTAGATATTTTGTAGATTCCATTTTGTTGAAATGTCACTCTCCGCGTGTTATCTAGTTTGAAGGTAATTCAGATCGAAAGATATCATGCTTGATTGTCAAATCCAATACTCTGAATCCGGCTAAAAATTTATAGTCAGCATTGTAGTAGATAACAAGGAGATGTTTTGGTCTGATTGAATAGCTCGTTGGATCTCATGAGCTATGTTCTTTATATGCAACAAACATTTTTAAAGTCTTGTACCTTTTAAACAGCATCAACGCTACTGCAATTTACGAACTTTTTATCATCTTTATCTGTTTCATATCAGACTTACAAATGTGCTTATATCTAGGTCCGTACATACGTTAAACATTACTTAACAACTGAAAAAATATATTATACCTTATTTGTCCACACTTGAATATCTAAGTCATTTTTCATATTGGGATATAATGGAAGTTTTTAGTAGGGAAATGACACCTTTGACATTCAGACCATAGGCCCGGATATTTGCTTGTGTTGTTTACGTTCCAGATACAGGTACCTGTGTTCAGACTTACTGTACAGTACTTTAAAAAAAAACTGAGGTCATTGTAAGTACTAATAAAAAGAAAGATCAACATTTCATAACTCATTCATGTTTATTGACAAGCGATGATTTGGTAGCTTAGCAAAGGCAGCTCTCAAACCATGGAGAGCGAATCATGCTTTTCTTACAGACACGACTCTAGGTTCAGTTTAACACCTAAACAGTATTCACATGTGTCCTCAAATTTGCATTGAACTGCCCTGTTTTGCGAGAACACGTGTAGCCTCCGTGTGTCACTGTTACAAAGAAGACACTACTCGAAACACACACGTGTCTTTACAGATATGCTCGTTGTTACTGACGCTGCAATTATTAGCTGATTACAGTTATTTAAAGTTTTATGGCACGGTTCAGTAAAAATGTCTTTTCAACTTAATACAGAATTAGATATTTTACAACTTATTCAGTAAATCAAAAGTATGACAACCAAGAATACTTAAATATATATAAAGAGTGTAGGATAACGCCGGTGCGAGTGACCATCTTGAAAGTAGTTCCCCAAAATAGAACTGCACTCATACGTCAAAGGTTAGATGACCCAATAATCGGTCGAGGTGTTCCGATTGCCCCGAAAAGTGTACAAAAATGACCGCTCCGATGTACGTTTTTGGCGTATTGTATTTTCAGACTAATATTTCACAGGTTAGAGTCAGGAAACGTCTTGATTAAAATGTGGAGTTAAAATATATTTTCATTGTATTGTTAATGCTATTCCTCGTCGCGGAGATGTTTTATCATGCGGAAATTCATTTAATGTATCACGAGGTTGTATAGAGAATCTTCTGTCTTGCCGATTAAACTTTTTTCTACGTGGGAATATACAGTGAATTGATATCACATAGGGCACCCATTTGCCATCGCGTGTTTGAAAGATATCATCACCTTGTTATAACAATCCAACTACAATTGATAAAGGACAATGTTACACTGTTTACAGGAAGTTAACTTGCGTTATAAAATATTGCAACACTGTCGAATGTTCTCATCTGCACATATGTACTCTGTCAATATTTATGTCAACTGTCTGTCATGTATCCGCGTATGATGATGTGCAGTTGTAAATATTTCATACGTTTGTCGTTTGAGCAATCAAAATGAAGTCTTATTTGATGTTGGTGATTTTTCCAATTCAATGTCTATGTAAAAAGGCCTAACTAATGTATAAATGTGCAACAACTGCTTCATAAAGACCATTCAACCATACATCCATGGCCAATGCATAACCCAGCTCTCTTGTGCAGTAATCTTTTTTTGTGGGTATATAATGAAACTGTAAAAAAAAGTTATTCTTGAATTAGCATTCAAAATTTAAAAATTAAAGTTGGGAGAAGGGGTGGGGTGGAGTTGTTCTATAAGTTACAAGTATAATATGGTTATAATCAAATGAAATTCAAAGTTTTTCTTCCAATTGTACTATGCTTAATCTATATTATATATACCCAATTTTTTTTTCTTTTTCTGCTCTCATAGATCAGCATCTCATGATACACAGCATTCAAACATTAGTTTAGGATCTACATTGCTGCTCGGATACCAGGAGTGTCGATTTACAAATTCTTGATTTTTGAGAAGAAAAGTGTATTATTGCATTAAATTTCACCAAACTGGACAAATCAAACATTACATTCCATATACTGCCGACCAGATTCAGTGGTACGAGTATAAAGAGTATGATTTAATACAAAATTTCAATTTATAACATATTAGAACATACCGTGTGAGAAGTGAATGCAGTGTATTCTGAACTATCCTCATCCCTGTTTCAGACTTTATAATACAACATACTTAACTTTTTCATTCATTGAAAATGGGATTTCAGTGAAAAACCAATTTATTATCCAATTCACTGGATTAAACCAATCTTTAACAGAGCACGGTGAACCGAGACTTTATGATTTTGAAATATCCCAACATTAATGCACATGTACTTCCAAAAAACCAACATTTTCATTGTCTGAATAGTATTTATTTGCATTTACACCTGACTGCCCTTTACAATGTACTGAGGTTAACACTTAAATTTCATAAATGTGTATTCCTTTGGTGCAAACGGGCAAATACTGCATACAAATCTGTAATGAAATCTGAATGAACAAGATATACTAATGACCAGGAAAAAAAATCCTGCTGAATACTACACACAGGAATAATGCCGAGCCACTTCCTCCGATTCACCTAAAAACTGAGATAAAAATGCATATGTATGGACAATTGGGAATTATTGGACACAGTGTAAAAAGCCACAGTAAACAACGTTTCCATTGCTGTTTTCTTGAGATGTTTTATCTTAAACGTATTCAACGCCAAAACCAATGGATTTCATTGGTTGAAAAAAAAATGAATGATAATTTTTTTTACAGATAACCATTGAACCCTGCTACATTTTAAAATGACGCTATTGCTAAAAGTATTTGTATTCAAATTATTGTTTGTCATATTCTACATTCTACAAATGATTTTACAGTCAGGACAGAATCTTACAAATATTGCGGAACAATTATTTGATATTTACAAGAATTTTCGAACATTGAAAACTTTATCGATTCTTCCTGTGCTGGCAATAACACAATTATCTTGTGTTTTTAATTTCTGATTTATCCAGATTTACAAATTTGATGTGAGAGTTGTGACAGTAGTATAATATTTAATATAATTATCGACTGATTTTTCCTTTTTTAATTTTAATTTAAAACGGCAACATATTTCGAGAAAATTGTTTCAAATTAAATCTAACTTTGTGTATTTTTCATAGAACTCCTTTCATAAGGTGCGTTTCATATGAGAATGTGACTGTATAATATTCAATATGTTGACAGGCTAACATATTTTTCCATTTCGAATTTTCATTAAAAAGGCAACATATGTTTAGTTACTAATTTAAAAAGAAATGTTTTCAAATGAGAATTAACTTTGTGCTTTTTTCATAGAACTCCTTTCATCATCTTTTATAGAAATTGATGATGTTGAAATGCTAGATGACATATATCTACCATAAAGCACACTAGCTATCACGATTGCGACTCATGTTTCATTCTTTGAACAACAGATCAGTCAGGTACGATATCATATAATCAGCATTAGATCTTGTGTCAACATTACTACCTTGCAAACGACTGAGAAGACCTTGGAAAATTTTGAAAATACCACTGACAACAATCATATAGAACAGATTGTTTGAGACCAAACAGTGCCTGATGTTTGCATGTAAATATCAAGTAACAGACCGGATCTCGGGCCAAATGTTAAAAACCATCTTATTTGAACCCTCAAGAAAAAGTATCTGCTGATCCCATTTCCGATTCACAAAGGGACAAAATTCCGGATATTTCGAGAGGATCATCTCCAACATTGAGCCCAATTCATCAGAAATCCACATATTCAACAATAGATCGTATTCCTTAATAAGGAAATGTATCTCATACAAATAGTGGACATACAGATTCTGAAAAAAAGATGGAAAACTCTGATAAGTGGTAACTGAATTTTGAAGCATATAAATCCAAAGGGATTGGTGAACAATAATATCGACACTAATAAAGGAGCAATGAATTCAAACAACAGAGTAGATCATCTAAACATACATGAATACATGAATATCGTTCTATGTGTGATAGGAAAGGATGCCAGCAGTGCCTTAAGATTAAATCTTAGGAGTACAATTCATGTTTCGGGAAAGTAAAGTGGATTTCCAAAAGATATCAATGTGGCATTAAGTAGACTTTGTCTTCGTACGGAAGTTGACGTCGTACCATATAATTGTGTACAAGAGGACATAGAACAGGATGGAGATTGTAAATTTGTTAACACTATGTCTTCTTTCGTTTTGGGTAATGGTGCTATGGTATTCTCTCATTTCCAGAGAGATGGTATACATTGATCACTACCTGGAACATCATCATATATCAAGTGTATTCACAAGATTGCTCTGGTAATACGCTTAAAGTCCAAGATGCATTACTACAGAGATGTTGCAGATCATTCACCAACACATTATAGGAGACAAAGAAAACCTAGGAGGGATCAAATGCCCCATGGCTTCGGTTTCACTCCTAGAAGACTTGCAAGGAGGACCAACTTCAGTGTCACTTGTTGGAACTGAGGTCGCCCTGATCACTTCTCATATGACTGTGGCTGCGTTCAATGGGACACAGACACATCCTGTTTTATAGTTAATGGTCTTGTAAACACAATTGTAACAGGTTTAATGCAGTAACTTTAATATGTGGGTGTGTAAATAACACATAGAATTCAACCAAAGTTGTTTTTGTGAGCAAGATTAATAAAATAATGCTGTTACTGGCATACATCAGTAAGAAAATACTCCTGAACTCCTAGTCGACATGGGAAACAATCATTCCATAGTAATGATAATGTCACCAATATTATTCCAAAACTTATTATTCAAATCTTAATCAACGTAATGTTAATATTTCTGATACAATAATATCTAATATTTACACTAAAAGTCAGTCAGGTATTAAATACAAAAATACTTTGTTGATGCTAGAAATTGTGAAGTTGATGTTGAGCCATTTTTCCAACAGCAAGTGGGGTTTCTAATATAAATTTGTGTCAAAATATCCAAAATCATACATATTACTAGCTAGAATGTTCATCACATGCTACCAAAGATGCACGAAATCACACTAATTTAACAGGAATCTATCGAAATGTAATTTGTAGGTTTAGGTGAAACATTTTTGAGCGAGAATGCTAACTTATACTATAGAAATAAGAGCTCGTGTAAACAAAGCTTGCTGGGATCTCGTTGCTTATATGAATACGTTACCACATCCTGGATTGATGTTTGATGGCATGCTTCAGAAATTAGTCATTGAGAATTTAGATACAATTATTCTTGGTGATTTTGATATTGATATATTTCATTCGAACATAAATAGGAAATGGAATTATCAAAATTTTACCCTAATTGTTAAATCAAACGACTAGAGTAACTAAAATCATCGACGTTATTAGATCACATTTATTATAACAATATAGATTTCATTGAAAATGTTGATGTGCTGAAATTAGGTGAAAGTAATCATTATCCAGTATATATGTTTTTCTTAAAGCCCCAATATACGTAAAAATCACTATAAAAAAACAAACTTTATCTGATTTTCCCCGTAACATATGTAACAAAACAAATACTTTCCTTTAATTAAAGAAAATAAAACTGACTGTTTTCAATTTAAAGAAAAATTGAAAAAATCGGAAAATAAACAATGTGGGACCCACAATAATTCATACATTACCGCTCGTAGCGATGACATTGCGCATGCGCATATTCCGCGTGTGTAAACATGGCAGACACAGTACAGACGTTCACCAGTCGCCTTTTTTTTCCAATCATACATCAGGCCAGTTCTGAATTCTTACGTTATAATTGTGCGTCGTATCGTTTCTAAACTAATTATTCCTTCTAATAATTTCCCAAAAAACTGAATGTTTATCACAGGAAAACCTCAAGTCTACGACAAGACTTCGCAAACAATGTTTGTAAACAAAAACTTACCGTAGACATATCTGCATGTGATTCCTCTATAAGTAGAAACCTCAACTCTCGCGAGATCAGGTCATGAACTTTCCGACGTGGTTCGGCAACAATCGTAATTTCGATGGCGGCGTGATTAAAATGGAGGTGTGTTTACAAATAGCGAGTTTCAACTGCTGATATATCAATACTTTATGCACAAAGTCATGGTAACTATTGTTTGAATAACTTAATTTAAACTATATCTCGGAGAATATCTCAATAATTATGTGTGATTCTACACTAAATTTTTCGTGAATGTTACCTATATTGGGGCTTTAATTCAAGCTCCATGAATAAGACAAATAAATCATAATATTTTGATCACAATGTGATCACTTATCGATGTTTCAAGAAATTTGATAAAGATAAGTTTATCAGAAATTTATTTTTTCAAGTATCAACGATATCTTCAATTTAGGTAATGCTAATGACACCCGAATATTTTTTTAAAATCAAATTCATGAAATTAATTTGATATTCATGCCCGTTTGAAGATTAAGATAGTTAAAACAAATTAAGTAGCCTGAATGTTGTAATGCGGAGACTGGTAAAGCTCGTAAACTAAGGGATAAATATAACAAAATCAAAGATATATCATATATATATATTACCAGCTAATCCACACTAGATAACTAATTAACCTGAATGAATCCAGCTAGTGTCCATCCAAATCAACAGTCTTTTGAAAGGTAATAAAATTGTGTTTTCATATCAAAAGGATCTCAACACAAGTGAAAAAAAGTATGTATATTACAAGATTTTAAACGTTTGTTTTTCTTTCCTTTTTTCATTCAGTTGATTATGATTGCATCACAAGAATGATAGAAATATGACTCTTTATATTTTTAGGTATAGGCTTCACCATGGTAACACTGTCGCTGATAGTTACCTGGTACTACGGGACAGTGATTGCCTGGGTGCTGTACTATCTCGGCTATACATTTTCGTCTACTCTCCCTTGGTCCACATGTGATAATGAATGGAATACAGCACAGTGCGTAGTTGTAAGACATTCACAGCCGCTTGCACAAAACATCTCTTCATATAGCAATGACAGTAATACCACAAGTATGTATGAGGGCAGGTTGTCATCGCCTTCGAATATTACAACAGTAACAACTGCAGCATCGGAGTTTTGGAGGTATATTAGCTCTGTCATAGAATATGGACGTTACCTAATTATCAATTCATAATCAATTTAAAGACTGAAGCTAAGATTTTGTTATGAAATGTTGAAAAATGTCTAGCTATTCAAATTAAGAAAAATATCTTAAGCTAAGATAAAAAAGTGAAAAATTTCTAAAAATTCTTTTAATCATTGTAGTTTTGTTTCTCATATCACAATATATATCTTACCAATATTTTGATATTTTAATCACTGATTTATCAAGCGTTCCTCTGATTTGTTTTTATTAACTCAATAATAAATTGGTTTGTTAGAAGACCTATGTTCCTACAACCATTTTCTGTGCCGACAAATATTACTAAAACATGAAATTCCCTGTTTGGATTGTAACATGTTCTCAAATAACAACTTATGACAACATTTCAAATGTACATAATTTTATGCTATTTGTATTGGCCATTAAGCTTGAACTGTTTTATTCACTCCGAAACCGTAAAATCGTACTTTTTTTTCATATATTTATCTTGTGAAGTAAAACATCCTATGCCTCATATACTTTATTTCACATCGTAAAATTACATTGATATTTAATGTTTTGTAAATTATGTTTATAGCTTTGTTACTCCAAACTGATCGGACTATATAAAACACGTTTTCCATACCCAATATGTTCTTATATATATTCGATCTAATATTCAGTATAATAACAAATCGAAAGACGCATGCATTGGTGATTGTTTGCCATTGATTACGGATTCGTTCTTTTTGTCACGCAGCTAAATTTCCAAAAGGATGAATTATTATCATTATTACATTCTTAACAGCCCGTCAACACATAAAAGGTCATTAGGGCCATCAAACGGTGAAACACACAGCTATAAAAAGAAAAAAAAACATTAAACAAACCAAACGGTAAAAAAATGTTAAAAATCTTAAATAGGTATGTTAACACAAAAGATTAAAATGGTACGTGATAGTCTATTATATAGACCAACATCTTTCAGGTAATGAAGAATTTTACAAATCTCAACAGTTTCAAAAAGGGTTTTTAGACATGTAATGTTACGATAAAAAACATTCCCGAGTAGACAGAAGGTCAAAGCAGTCCAATAAAAAAAACCTATGCACTGAGGATTATCGTCGCCTTTCAACATATATGAATGTGTAAGGTGTGTATGACCTATCCGAAGACGGGCAAGGACAACTTCGTCTCGGTGGTTGTCTCTATAGCGTGAAGACCATCACCTATAACAGGCTTAACGGAGTGCAATTTGTTATTGGTATATGTATTCCATTCCTCCTGCCATTGAGTTTTCAAGATTTGTTAAATAAAATGGTTTAAAATCGGTAAAATGAAGTTTAAAAACAACAGGTGGTAGCGATAAAGCTTCCTTTGCGGTACGATCTGCTTTTTTATTGCCTGGTATTCCCATATGCCCAGGAACCCAGCAAAAAGCAATACGAAAGTTAAAGGCAAGATATAGTATTAATGTATAACGAATGAAAATATTTTCGATATTTCTGTTGCCAAGACTCTGTAGAACAGAAAGAGAGTCTGAATGGATAACAGCTCCAATTACTTTGTTTGTTTGAATATATTCAAGGGCGCGGTAGATAGCTAGTGCTTCCGCTGAGAATATTGAGGCGTTGTTCAGTAGCCGGCATCCATAGTTTTCATCTTGTGTAACCATGGAAACCTTATCATTATCAGTATATAAATGTAGAAATGTTTTATATTTCAACTGCAATTTTGAGAATGATGAAGGAAAGGTGTAAATGTCTGTGTCTGATTTAACCGTTTCATGAAGTGTAAAGTTAACTTCAGGTGAATTCATGAGCCAGGGTGGAATTTCTATCGTTCCAAATGACTGAATTTGGTCACTATCAATATTTGGGCTTTGGTAAAGAGTGGTTTTTGGTTTGTTTTGAAATAAGATTTTATATTTTGGATCAAATACAAGGGAAAAAGCAGGATTGGAAGGATTTAACTTTAGCTGAATGGTGTATTGCAAAGTCAATTTATTTCGACGGCTATAGAGTGATGGTTCGTTAGCCTCTACATTGAGGCTTGTTGTAGGTATGGTCTTAAAAGCTCCGAGAGCGAGCCTGAGACCTTGGTGATGAACAGTGTATAATAATTTCAAATATGAAGGTCTAGCAGATCCACACATGATGGAACCGTAGTCTTATTTTGATCTAATAATAGCTCTATAAGAGTCTTAGCAAACGTTTCTATCAGCTCCCCAATCAGGGAGACAGATTTGGACCGTCGTGTTGTTTCTGAATTTGACAAAAATGCATACAAACTCTTTTTTGATTGTGAAAATTTAAAACCATTTTCATCTGCCCAAATTTGTAATTGATACAAACATCGTTGAAGTTGTCTTTCGATGGTATTCATATGATTAGATCGATAGCATATAATAAAGTCATCAACATAAAGAGCGCCCTTCATTTAAGGGGATAATTCTTTGACAATACTGTTAATTTTAAGTCCAAAAAGTTTAACCGAAAGAATACTGCCTTGTGGTACACCCATTTCCAGCTGATGAACATCAGAAAGGGTCGACCCATTCCGGACTTGAAATGAAACACCGTTTAATAATTGCTAGGTATAGTGGCTGAACTACAATTATAATTCTAAAAAAATGATGTCCGCAAAACACGTTCTCCGTATTCTTTTATTACTGAAGATCAAATTGATTCAGAAAACGAAATAAGTTACAGTGAATTGAAACGATAAAAGTAGTGAAACATATTTATCAACTATCAATGAAACTTGATGCCGGAGTGACAATATTATCATTAACATGACCTCCAGTGATAGTTATCATGTCAGGTGTGTTATCACTATCTGGTGGATATGATTTTAACATAATCTACTATTTCAAATGACTGGACATGTCGTATTTCTAGTCTTCGTTGCCATAATTGTTTTTTTTAAATTATTACCTTCTCTAGGTACAAGGTGCTGAATATGTCGAATGGAATAGAGAACTGGGGTTCTTTGCAATGGCCGCTTGTTCTGGTACTGTTTTTGAGCACTGCTATGTGTTTTCTCTGTATAATTAAAGGCGTCCGATCCGTTGGAAAGGTAGGCACTTTACGTTTATTGATATGTTTTCGATAATACTTTTTTAAACGTTCGGGAACGTAGGTATCGATAATGCTTAATTTAGTTTTTTTCAATTCAAAGGAACAGAATTGACGAAAACCATGGAATGCTTTGAGAATAATCATAATGAAATATGTCATTTCCTTCCATTTTGATCACTTTTCATATGCATTGGATATTATTGCATATAACGATTGTATGAACCTTATTTTTGCGTAGAGTAGACTGTATAATTCAGTTATTCAAAGATTGCACAAAAGACACAAAAGTGAATAGCACCTTTTCATAATTTCGAGTGAGATACAGTAGAGCCAAACAATGAATTAAACTGCATCATACAGCTTTTTCGTCCTTATTGGACTCGTCGGTGATGCTAAGGGCCAAATATCTGAAGCCTAAGAGGTGACTAAGGAAAATTCAAAGTGATCAAAAGTAAAGCCAAACTGAAACGGTATTGAAATGTATTCTGTGTTCCAATAGGTAGTGTGGGTAACGGCCTTGATGCCATATGTCCTGCTTACTGTAATTTTGGTTCGAAGCGTCACACTAGAAGGTGCTGTTGACGGAATAATTTTTTACGTCAAACCTGATTTTCAAAGGCTTCTTCATTTTCAAGTGAGTATAAATTTTACTGTAGTTTTTTAAAAACTATATAGGGGTTTAAATGAAGTCAATACAATTTTAAAACAATGCTTTAAAATGGTGTTTATTTACAAACATTTTCCAATTTACTATAAATCACTTATCATCGGTAAGCAAATTAACATTGCTATTTTATGTATTGACATTAGATGTATCTTTCAGCTAGGGACAAAAAAAAAGATAAAAATAATGAAGAGAAGACATTTCGTCAAGTCATCGACTAACATTAGTGCAGAGGAATAGATGAAATAAAGTTGGATTCATAAAAATCCTTCAAAGTCATCTTTACGTCTCTTTATATCAAATAGTTCGCTTGGAGATCAAATTTCCCTATAAATATACCATAACAGTTGTAATTTATTTATATTCAAAATTCCTTATATCGATAAAACAAATTACCCGCAAAATATATACCATAGCAGTTTTAATTAAATTTAATTCAAAATTCCTTATATTGGTATTTCTGTCAGCTTGCATGTAATCGCCTAGTAATTCATTCCTTATGATGATATCTTAACTTTCAAAACTACTTTAATTGTTAGACCTACAAAGCCACTCCAGACGTATATGGCGTAGTTAAATACCGATGATAACGGGATTGTTTTTCCAATAGATTACTAATAACACTTGACAAATGAACAATAAATGATCTTCAAACTATTTACTTAGTTTAAAATTATTTTCTTATGATAGGTTTGGTGTGACGCGGCTTTACAAGTGTTTTACTCGCTTGGACCAGCATGGGGCGGGGTGCTTACAATGGCTAGTTTTAGTAGGTTCCAGAACAGATGCTTCAGGTAAATTAATCTTTTTAAATATGTCATAGCGTCCGAAATATTCAAGTGTGATTTGTCAGTTTTTGTGTTGAATGGTGAATTCTACATTGATTGAGTTAATATGGTGCTGTGCATATTGTTATATTGTTCACACAAGTGATTAACACCTTTTAACAGAACTTTAGTGTTAGATACAGCAGAGCCAAACAATGTATTAAACTGAATAATAAAGTTGTTATGTCCTACAGGGACTCGTCATTGACGCCAAGGGCCTTAATTTTTAAGCCCAGGAGACTACTATGGACAATCCAAAATAATCGAACATTAAATTCAAATCTAGATGGGGAGGTGCACTAGTCCATAATTAAAATAAATTTCGTAATTTTCATATATTAGATAATTTGAGAAGAGCGTTAAGTACAACTGTTTCTTTTCTTTGCATTTATATATAAATTTTGTCATAACAACAATGATGTTTTGCAGTGACGCAGTTCTATGTGTGTCCATGGACCTGATTACCGCATTTTATTGTGGGTTTGTTGTCTTCTCTATTGTCGGTTTTCTAGCGCATGAGTCAGGAATGAGGGTTGACGAGGTTATAGAGACAGGTAATTCGATAGGTTATGGATACGATGTATATACACATGGTGTGACATTTTGCAAATTATACTCACATTATATCGTCAAGTTTACACCATTTCGAGAAAAAATAAAGGAAATAGATAAATGCTAATGCACAAGACATATTTTGACGCCTTGTTGTATTTATTAATTGGCTACACTCTTCGTGTGACAGGACCTGGTCTAGTGTTCCTTACCTATCCGGAAGCCCTAACAAGACTCCCGCTTCCTCAGTTATGGTGTTTCCTCTTCTTCCTCACGGTTTGCTTTGTTGGCGTTGATAGTCAGGTAAACATGAGCTGATGAGGTATGCTTTGAGACGGAACCATTTGTAATGAAATTAGAATTGGATGTCACAGCAATAAATCAGTATTCCATCTGCATGTTTATAGATCCATCTTTTATTTCCATTGTAAAGCAATCTGGCATTTTTACCTAGCATATTCCATTGTTAAGCAATTTGGCATTTTGTAATCATCATGCAATATATCAATACACATATGATCTTTTATATGGTAAAGTAATAAGGAAATATGGCTTTTATTTATTTTTTGATATATATTTCTCTTTTCTAACTTCATGTATAAAATGTCACTTTCTAATATCACAGAATAAGTAATAATTTGATACTAAATGTATATACTTTTAATTGCTGTATATACTTTCCCATCAGCTAACGCACTGCCAGGTTGATGATGATGTTTTGTTTATATGTCTTGGTTGCTAAGACTATATATTTTCTTAGCTATTTCTAAAGTCAAAGAGGAGATGTTAAGAAATAAAATTTATCCTTTCCGTGAAGAATTTAATATCAGGTATATAAAGATAGATAAATGCTTTAGCATTGATTGTCGTAGGTTAAAGGCTAGTAACTGGATTTTTGTAATCCTGGGAACCTAGATATACATAGAGACATTGTTCTCATAATTATAAATTGTCTTGAATCTTTACACACGAATTTTTTGTTTTCACTTTCATAATAACATAAACAGATTGATGTTACCTAATATAATGTTTCTATTCATTGATCAATAGTGTGAAGAAATAACCATTACATGTATGTTACTATAACTGTCGAAAAGGGATAGTTATAAATAAATCGTCATGTCACAGGAAATCATATAAGACAGAAAATCATATACCACAGGAAGTCATGTAACACAGTAAGTCTTAAAACACAGGAAGTCGTCTTATAACACTGGAAGTCATACAACACAGGAAGTCTTAAAATACAGGAAGTCGTCTTATAACACTGGAAGTCATATAAAACAGGACGTCATATAATACAGGAAGTCTTATAACACCGGAAGTCATATAACACATGAGGTCATATAACACCGGAAGTCATATAGCACAGGAGGTCATATGATACAGGAAGTCTTATAACACAAGAAGTCTTATAACACTGGAAGTCTTGTAACACAGGAGGTCATATGATACATGAAGTCTCATTCTATATATTAAGATACTTCAGTTAAATGGGACGGTGTTTTTATCATTTCAATTAAAAAACTGGAAATATAATAACAGACATGTTACTCTTTATATGATTCAGAAGCAAGTGTGTTCATATGCTGTGTTGTAGTTTGGTATGCTTGAGACTGTAGTTAGTGGAATTGCCGATATGTTTCCTCACACTCTTGGTAAACGAAAGATCCTCATAGTGGGCTGTGCCTTCTTGTTTTACCTACTGAGTAGTTTGGTGTACGCGACACAGGTAAGTTTTCTAATCTTTATTTGAAGGAAACATAACAAACTGAACATTCTATCATGAAAGAATACATGTTGTCAGATTTGGAGTCATGTTTTAAATGTATATATACACTGTAATCACTTAAAGAGTTAGATAAATGTTATACCATTTTTGTGCTAACCTTTTGATTGCAAGCTAATATCGTCACATACCATGAACATGGTGATAAAAACAGCAAAATCTATTCATTATAGTGTAATTACGTGGAAATTTAATAGTCTACGAATTTTGAGGCTTAAAGTTCGACTCTCCGTTAGTTCGAATATACAACTTATTTTACTTCCCGTGGACACTGTGGTGAACAGGTATTGTTTTGCAATAATATCCCCGCTGAAAAAAATGCCCCAAAACTTTGAGAATTAAATACCGCCGACGTACACAGCAAATCATATAAATAAAAGAGACGGTGTTGCTTTTGAATCTTAAAGGTATATTCTGTAGTTGTAACCCTAAGTAAACAGGTTTCTTGAAGTGTATGATTTTCTTGAACCATCCTTACATTTCTCATTGGTTATGACAAATTTAGAATCACGATTATCAATATTCTACTAAGTAGATTCTTAAAAAATAATATGTAATCTAGCTTATTATAAAATGATATTAACTCCAAACTGTGTTTCCTATCCAAAATATCATGAAAGCTAATATATTAGCACGTGCATGTATTCTGAAGAATACAAGATCAATATTATAACTATTTCGGTATAACGTTTATATCGTTTACAGGCTGGAGTGTATATCTTCATGTTCATAGATTGGTATGCTTCCGCCTATTGCATTTTCTTGACGTCATTTTTGGAATGTGTGGTGATTGGGTGGTGTTATGGTAAGTCCTTGTTAGTTACTGTCATTTTCCAGCTAACAAAACGAAGGAATTTAAAGATAAACATATGAATGTAATGAAAATATAAAATCAAATATTTAGCAATGAACTATACTTTTCGTACGTATAAAGAAAAAATGAAGTTAATATCTTTGCAAACAATAGAAAATCAAACATGATAACATATTTCTATTAGTGAATTCCAATTAATGCTTCGGTGTCAAATCATTATCAAAATAAAAAAAACTTACAAAAGATTCATACGGAAATTCCCTGAACAAGTACAAAGGAAATAAGACCAGGTGTTCCGGAAGAGTAAGCATCTTCCGCTTTATCGGCGACACCCGTCATGTAAACCTCTGTCAATCCAAGTAAGTAAGGTCACGTTCTCAGATGATAATAAGATAAACCAATACGCAACCAACACCTTATGAGCATCAAACACGTCCATATCGCACAACGAAGTAGACTATTTCTCAATGAGGTCACTACGACGATCGTAAAACTTCGAAAATCGTGATAATGGGGACAGGTTTTGGATATCGACAATCACATTGTAAATCTTAGTCATGTTCCCATAGTGTAAACAGTCAACAGTCATTTCAAAGAGCACCAAGCATCTCCAGCTTCATATCGCTCAAAGAAATAAAATATTTCTCAATTCATTATGACCATAGAAACACCTCATCAACCTGCATTTCTCGGAATCCTGTTCTGTGAGTTGATCAGGTGTCGACTTCGAAAAATCGTGATATTGAAAACACGCCCTTGGATACTACATAAGAATTATTGCCATCCAGAGATTGAAAACTCGCAATAGGAAAATTGAAATCATTACTCTAACCATACTGGCAAGTAGAAAACTGTCCTTGTTGGTTCCGTTGTAGGAAACGGTCAGAAAAGAAATATATTATAAAAGATAAATAAGATAAATATCTTGTTATCTGAAGACAGGACGTCATCAATAAATCTGAAAGGAATATTGGAAAATGTTGCATTTGTGAACTTTTGAAAAATTCTCCAATAAATTCAGCTTTGTATGAAAACAAAAAACATTGCAGTCAATCACTGGCTGATTGAGTTTCTTTAAAGTTGTATTTTCGGTTATTTAAGTGATTAAACTAAATCAGCGTGCTTTGGTAAATTATCATGTCATCTGCTAAGGGGACGTACATACATTACGTACACCGTAAGCAAATTAAAACAAATTGATCGGAAGCTAATTGACGCAAACATCTATAGTCAATTATAGCACCTTAACGCGTTAACATGATATTCTTTAGGATACTTGTTAAACATTAAAAACTTTTCTATTGATTAGTAATTAATGAAGTCGCTGTGTAATTACATGTTCTTTTAACATTAATAACATTATAATAGTTTTCGCTATATGTCCAAAAAGTGATACATAGTGTCATTAATAATTCTGATGGATGTGACACAATTTTCCAGGAGCTGAGCGCTTTAGTCGTGACATCGAAGTTATGACTGGGATGCCAGTTCATGTAGTCATCCGTTGGTCCTGGTGCATATTTGTGCCAGTTGCTATGTCTGTAAGTAAAATTAATCACATTGTTTTGTTCTCAAGTCATTCATGATATCAAAATTGAAATGTTGCTAAAAGGAAATCATTACTAATACTGAAACCTTCCTCATATAAATTATGGTGTTTCCACTTCGTCTATTATACTCATCTTGTAAGCATTGAGACCTGCTGAACGATGATTCATTATTGAAGAAAAAATACTTCTTATAAAATATTTCTTCAGTAGCTGTTTATCCTTTACAGTACATATGCATTTTAGTATAAATATAGTTACACATACATAAGATATGATATTTAGTACATGGTATTCCCATGGGTCACTAGGCATTTATATCAGTCTTACATGATGGCAATGTATCACTTTTAAACAGACGCTTTCTGGTGTATATAAAGTTTCTAAACATACATTGCTAAAAAAATGCATATAGGGTTTGTTTGAAAGTATTGAATAATAAGTACAAATATTATAATTAATCGATTTTTCGGGGCACAAATCAATCAAAATCTGAAGTATACCTGGATCTGTATGTACATGATCAGATCAATACCTGCTATACATATGGTCCTTATTGAATGGTAATATTGATATTGGTAATTACAGATTGCGTTGGGAATGGCCATCACCAATATGACCAATCCTGTATATGAGGGTTACATTTATCCAGACTATATAGGATTGTTTGGTAATATTGTCGGATTGTTGCCTATCATACCTATCCCTGTCGTCATGGCAATAGAGATACTGAAAGCGCGGGGACCGCTGACGCAGGTAATTATCAGTAGTACGAGTTAAGTTTTTTTTTTTTTTTTTTTTTGCAACGTGACACATATTCCAAATAAAAGTAATCGTTTTTTACCTAGCGTTCATCCATGTTGAGATATTTGTGAATTAAACTATGTTATAATTTAACTTTTTTATCATCTATGAAGGTTTGTTGTGGGCTTTGTTATTGTGATAATTGATTTTACTCGTCAAGATGAAAAGCCGCTCAACAACACTGCCAAGAGATTAGATAATCATAAAACCATTCAAAGCTTACCAGAATTATCAACATTTTAAAAATTAGATACACTAATAGTATATTCACCAAATATTTTTATTCTAAAAAGTATTTTGTACAATCCTGACACAAACAGTGTTTTAGTCAGGATGCTAATTTAAAGATTGTACATATTAAAAATTGCCGATAAAGCAATGGAAAGTTATACAATTTGTGTATCAAATAACAAAAATCATAAGCAAACTTACTTTTTTTCATTTTCATGCATTTCCACATGTTAGTGAATTTGTGTTCTGATGATCCAGTTTATCTAATATATGTTTGTGCGAATTGATCTAAAAGGCAATATCACACGCAACACTGCCTAAATATTGAAGCACGATCAGGTAAACATCGTGGTTTCAGATCACATACTTTAATAATTAACGATAGAGTTGATATTATCGTTATAATTTGTGTTTTAATGAGAACAATGAATCATATCCCATCTAATCAGTAATAAAAATAAAAACATATGAGGTTCAAAAAGAATAGAAAACTGTATTTTATCATGTCCTTTTTTCAATTTCAGAGAATCAAGCTTCTTTTAAGACCGAACGCTGACTGGCTCCCCAATGACGAACAAGCCCGTGAAAGCTATACTATATACAAGTACAGCAATGCAATCGGACGTAATATTCGTATTGATCTCCTTGGTGATCATTTATAGACCCGAGTACTGATATATGATCTTTTCAATTTCAAACGAAGCTAGGCTTTCAAAATCGATATCAGGCCATGTATTTTTCATTTAGTCTGTGATTTAAAATCGTTATGATTAAAAAACTATCGTGCGGATAATGCCATTTCAGCCCATCAGCCCATGCTTCTATGTGTGCCCATAGAAGCTGCTAACAGCTAATACATTCCTGAAACAAGCATATATTTTCACATCACCTCTACAGTTTTACTTAAAAATATATGTTATATTACAACTGGCAAACTCGAATTCCAAAACAAGAACAAACGTAATATGGCATACATTAACAACTGTTAAAATTAAAATTCAGAAATGGTAACTTTGGAGAATATTTTATATACTGTTATATGGCAAAATAATTCTATCTTTATCATATGAAAATATATTTCAAGTCCTCACCTGATAAATAAGAAAGAAAATATAAAGTTGCCTTCTACTTGATACTCTCATTGTAATTAGATCTAATAACAGGAAATGTGTTCATTCGAATATTACATTACATTTTCTTACCTATATGGAAAATGTTACAATTACGAAAGATAATTACATATATCCCTGTAGCCTTTTGTTTGTTTTTAAGATATTGCATGTACATAGTTTTCTGATATACCAATAACTTGTGTTTTGCTCTTACAGTTTAATGAAATCATGTTTTGATCGTTTTGATGTACCTCGAGCAATATTAATCAAGTTTCTTCCCAAAAATAATGTCTGAATAGAATAGTCTTGTCTGTTTTATTCTTTGGCATCAATAAATGCTATATTGAAATCATTTATACCTCTAGTGACTTATAATGATAACCAATGTATTGACTTACAGAAAAGTTAACATAATTCTTAGACAACTTGTAAATTTGCTAGACTATTCTCACCTGGTTGATATTCCTGCCAGTAACCTATTGAGGATAATACACACACATCTTTTTCACTGTCCTCTCCACTAACCAAAGATAACTTCTTCTCAACTCCCTGTCTGAACTAAGTGATTCTATACCACATAATACATATTTCTTAATGGTTTACACACACTTGATGTAAATACAAACAACTCTACTCTCAGACTTATTAAGAGGTTAATCACTGATACAAGTTTCCTTGTCTTATTCTATCTTACCATAAACCTTGTCTCAGGTTTGCATCCACTCTCTATCCTTGCTTATCAGGCATATAATTGTGTATGAATGGAGAGTTAGTGTATGTGTGTATGTTCATCCTTAAATACATCTGGACCGAACCTTGGTAATGTCATTGTCGACAGAGACACCATTGCATACTCTCTCAGGAATCATTGTCCTGAAAATACTGCTGAAGAACGAAATTCAAAATTATTACAATACAGATATATAAAAAGTGTTGTGGAATTTTCTAAAATTGCCCATGTTAAGATATGATCAGCAGTAGAAATCGCATGTTGACATTGGACACATGTGCTTAATTTTGAGTGCATGTTGCGAAATGATTAAGGTAGGCAATTCGTACTACATACAATAATGTATAAGCTACAGACAGGCAAGCTGTATGGAGTATCTTGTGCATTCAGAGGTTACACCATCCATATGTTGAGTATTGTGCCTTTAGAATATTCATATTGTCACCAGAATAGTCATTTACTAGTTAACATTGTATTCAACAAATACACTTTTTTCGTGCAGATGTATTCTGAAATATTTACAAGCATAGAACATTAGATAAATGAATGAATAAACAAAGATTAACAATTAACTTCTTTATGTACCCATTTGTCAATTTTCGATAATTCCAAACGGTGTTGATTTAAATAATTATGATAAAAATACATAAACTTTATTTATTTTACAACAATTGCGAACTTCTTTATGTAATCACTCTGGTTGACGAGTAAGCGCGCGAGTCGGGCAGGTCGGGCACCCCTTACATATGCAATCATATCAATATTTATCACATGAAAATATCGACAAGGTTATTAATTATAAATAGAGTGTTTTGTTTCAGTATGACTTGAGTTGAGAGTCGCAATACTTCTATTTGAATTGAGAATCAGGCACAAGAGAAAGCCTACCAACGATCATAACTGAATTGTTTTTGTTTTCATAAAAGACTGAATTAATCGAAGAGTTTATCTAAACAGGTCACAAATACATTGGAAAATCCTTCAATTTCCCTTTCATGTATATTGATGATGTCTTTAAACAGCTAGAAATTTATACCACGAACCGGCACAATTTCATCATATTTAAATGTAGTTACCTTTTTTAAACATTTTTTGGACACGTAAAAGGAAATAAAACCAAAAACGACAAAGAAGCAAAAACACAGCAAATATGGAAATCAATAAGGCAACCATTTAAGGTTATGTATTCTAGTGCGTGTCACTATTCAATAGATCTGTTTGAGTGCACTACTAGTGCATTTGTTATATGGGACTGCAAGTCATAACTTGAACTGCGTAAAAAGAATTCAATGTTTCGATGCAAACGTGAATTCGATATCTTGAAAAGTACCTCAAAAATTAAACGGACAGTCTTTTTCCATAACTTAAGCTGAACGCTCTTTTGCATGGATGGATCCACAGCATCGGGTACATTTATAGATAAAGACCTATTTGCAAATGAAATCAATATACCAAATATACATGTTGTATTTTGGTCTGCTCATCTCTATGGTGAAGTATATACATCGTGAATGTTTAACAAGGCGGTTTTATTAACAATTATTTTTTACCTATTAAATAACGCATGCGTCAATATATTAGAGAGATACAATATTTTGTACAGCAATGACTGACTGTGCTTCGAAACATTGATGTCATTTATTAAAGTAGAATCAGTTTATTCCTAATGGATATAATTTTTACTAATCGGAAACAAAACTACTTTTTGAGTATCCATTAATAATGCCTTTTTTCCATTTTTAAAATATATTTTTTTCTAGAGCCTAACGCTGACATCGAGTAAGGACTGGAATACCAATATATCTAGTCATCCTTGGTCATCCTTTAGTCCTAGTGAATATTTACACCGGTTGCTACATCTGTAAAGGAAAAGCAATCACACTAATTAGTTCTATTCTCACTTTGGTTTTAACTAATTAGAAATATGTTTACATTGGTTTGAAACAGAGGTTTGTAAACAAATGCGTGCCATCATCATGTTGTGTTAATATAGGAAATATTTACTACTGGGTATAATGCACCAAATCGAGCTCTCAGAATACCAACCGAAATCAGTAATTTATAAACAAAAAAACTAGACAAACATTTGCCATCGATATTTTATGTTTTGTTTAAAAAAGATAATATTGCCTTTCTCACGCAAAGCACACACACAAACTGACAATCTAGTTATATTGCAACACTGGTTTTAAAGGCAGAAATATGTGTATGTAGAAATACCTGTTAGGAGCTGAGGATTAAGATTAATGTAGTCACAGTGATCACATTTATAATTCTATCGATTTCGTTTAAGCATCACATTGTGTTTGTCAGTTATGACAAAGAAGAGAAAAAAATACATTTGCTGTGAAAAGAAATCGCATTTAAAAATTTAGTCAAGAATTAAACTTCACGAATAACGATTAATTGTGGATTCTCGGATAACAAACATTTGGATCGATGGCCCGTTCTGCTTTTGTGCAAGTCTTAAAAAAAGGTATGGAGAACGAATAACTCAGAGACGTGTGACTTTCTTACAATAACCATAACTGAAGGGACATAGTATGAATGTTTCGTATGCAAAGATATGTGAGGTATATATGCTATATGTAAATATTCTTCTCACAAATTAGTATATCAGTAATTATTACATTATTACTTCAATTACATCAAATGCAACTAATTACTGGTCTTCAAAATAAATGAACGAATCCATTTACACATATTCTATTGTTTAAGACCGTGATCCCAATTCAAAACTCGAAACGAACACAAAGTTCGCTAAAAACGAAATATAAGAATGACAGTTGATAAGAGAGCAATAATAAAACTGGATGAGTGTAAAGGCTACCCTTTGTATGCTGCTCCATGAATTACTCATTTAAGAAATATCACGTTCTTAAAAGTACAATCGGGGTGATAGTTTTGTCTATTTCTGATGATACTATGGCGACAAAAAAGAATATCCCCTGTAGGCTTCATCATTATGGGTAGTGTACTGAATCTTTTACTCATGCTTTCGGTATCAACCAAGGGGATCGACAAATTGGGGCACGCCCATGATTATCGATTCAACTTAATTCAATACGTTTCTTTTGGAAAGCAGAACATTTGGCACTCACTGACAGAGGATTTCAAGATCAAAATAATTTGTCTAAAGTTTATAGCTGGTGCTCTAGTGATTGCTGATTTCTTAATATTAAAACGCATTCAATATTTATCAATTACTTTTAGGGCATCGCTATTGACAATGATATCTTTAATGCTCTTTAATCGCTTCACACAAGTAAAAATCAGGAAAGAGATGTTAAATTGTCAGAATTATGTTGATTGTAGATAGGAAGATCTTGCTGCCGATTCTAGAGGTTTATTAATGATGTTACGTTTGCATCCGTATATTTTCTCTTGTCCCTTTTTCTGCTGCTTATGCTGTCCATATTTGTTTGGAGGATTGAATGTTTCGAATGTAAAAAGAATAAAAAAACTCTACTTTAAATCCTAAAGTTATATCGTACATGAGCTATCTATTGTATAATTTTCTTCCTTGAAGACGTGAGTTAGCCATCATAGAGACACAGTTAGTTCTATTCCCCTCTGTTTGCTGACTTGTTTTTGTTTTCATACGAAGCTCAATTTATTAAAGAGCTTATCAACACAGGTCTTGTAAGGTCGTTTAATGCCACTTTCAGATACTTTCTGTGCTACATTAACTGCCTATTTGGATTGTTCCTTCAACAAAACCTAAATAGAAAGCGTTCTACCAAGCTAAGTCTAGTTTTTATTAAATTTGAGATTAGATTAAGATTTCGTTGACCTGTTGGTATTTC